ATATCATTTTTTATATAAACTCATTGAATATTGATAATGATTTTTTAATATTGTTTTTTTATAAATCATCCTAACAAAGATGTATGTAATGAGCAGGACGTTTTACGTTAAACTTGCACTGTATGGAGATACATTTCCTAAAGCTCCTAAAACATATCTTTGGAATTTCTGTAATACAGATTCTTGTTACTTATTGACTTACAAATATGCTGATACAGTCATATAGCGCAATGATGAATAAAAATATCAGCCAATTTTTTGGCTGAGTGGATTTTATCGGTCTAGAGTAGCTCCAGGTAGCAAAAGCAGCAACAAAATCAAAGGTAAGGCGTCACATTGGCAATGATCTCTTGGACGTTCTGTACACCAACAGTCATCACTATTGACAGCTGACTGAACATATGAACACTACTCTGACTTATATATATATATATATATATATATATATATATATATATATACTACCTTTCAAGAACTTGATGTGTGTGGTATTGAGACATTGGCTGTAAATGTAGAAATGTCTGTTTCTTTTTAGGCTGGTTGTTATGAGCAGAGCTAATGAAGCTGTATTTCATATGAGCTCAAACTGGGGAGTTAATAGGGACTTAATGACTGATCAGCAATTCCTGTCGGAATTTCACATACACAAAACCGATGTACTACAAAAGCAAATCATGATTGTGGATTTAATTGCTGGGATTTGTAGTGTTTGTGCAACCATCGCACGAGCAAAATGACCTAAGGCAAGGCAGTGGGAGGTAATGAGAGGCCATCCAGCACGGAGCTGCAGAGGGAAAGGCATTACATGTTCTCCAGCTATTGTGCTGCCTTCGAAATATGGTGAGCTGGACAACGAGGATGAGCTGGAAGACCATAAATACGGGCAGTGGAGGAAGTGTGGTCCTCAGGGGGAGGGGGGGGGGGTGTATGTGGAGAAATGAAGAATAGACTCTTTAAAATGATACCGGCGTTCAAAGAAGGATTCATGTTAGATCGTATTTGGTGGAATTTGCTATATATATTTCATAAAGGCAAACTCAACTCCATCATGGTTTCCATGTTTTCCATTATTTTCTATAAATAAACTTTTATTGAACAATTTCTTATTTCCTTTGATATTTTTGTATGCAATGAGTAACATGTATGTTGATGTTGTCCAACGATACGACATACAGAGGCTAGTTTAGGCACAAAATCTGCAGGCCGAGTGAGCAGTGACTAAAACATAAAACCGTCAGTAAGTAACTAGGGCCCGTCATAGTGGTGTGCACTGGGGGGCGTCCTAACCCGACGCCTCCTGTGTGAGAAGGATTAGAGAGACAGACGGTAGTAGTAGTTGTAAACTGTAAAGGCATGTCTTTGATGGAAATATCGAGTTTGAAAGTTGAATATCGTCATCTTCCTAAAATAATGACCCAAGTCATTTTTTCAGTTTTTTCAGAAAACACAAAATAAAACGGCCTAAGTCACACTCTTGACATAGGCCATTATACTACAGGGGTAGAATCGCATGATCTGTTCAACTGAGGATGTTGGCAATTTTACCAGAGGTGGCCAGCATCATGAGGAGATGATTTAGGCAACAAAATCATTTTTGTCAAAAAATGACTTAGGCCATTATTTTAGGAAGGTGACGATATCAGAACTGAACTTGTTCTATCTGTCTCAAACTCCAACAATTGTTGTCTTCTTCATTATAACTTGATGATTCATCATTTCTAATTAGCCTCTGAGGAATCCATCAATATTGTCTTTGCCGGACAGATGACTTTGCAGTTTGATTGTAGTTTCAGTCTCATTTTAAGGTTCTTAATTCCTCCAGTGGAGCTTATCTGTCCATTTACATCACACTCCTGCATTTTCATTAGCCTCACTCTGACCATACTTTAGTGTCCACATCTCACAATGTGTTGTTGACTATTTTTACATGGGATGCCTGTCAATCATTTATACACTCCCCTGTTTTCATGAGACACTATACATAGAGGAGCTGCTGAATTATTGAGCCAACCTCAACAAGAGCACAACAAGAAATACAAGCCACTCTCTCTGTAACATCTGACGTATCTGATGCTGCATCTTTGGTTTCTGCAGTGTGATGACAGTCTCAGTAAGGCTTTTACACCTTCCTCATCATCCATTCAGGGCTTTGTTATACGTTGTCTTCTGTTCTTATTTTTTCTGCTTCTTAGAATATTATTAGCCTATGATATTCTCACCAATAGAGTTTATAGCTCCATGAAAGCCTGTTAACATATCATTGATGGCTTAATGTTGTTGGAGGCAGTTGATCACGTGGTGATGTTAGGAAGCATGAACAAGAGGAGAAAGATGAGCCCAAGTGCGCAGTTGAGTGGTCATTACCTCTCGGGGGTCTCTGTGTGCATACAAGTTGATTCATAGTGGCAGTGGGATCCATGTGATGTGGTATTGGGTACTGTAGGGCATAGCAGTGCAAAGAAGTGAAACTGTAGAAAGCAATTGAGTGATTACGTATTTTTAGCATCGTTTTAGCTTCTCTGTAAGACATTAAGTGACTAGATGACTTCAGTATGGTACAGTTCACAATGCTGGCATGCCTTTCACACTGTTCAACAGAAAGCATCCAGACACAGAGATAAGCTGACAAATGCTCCTGACCTACAATCGGATTATTTGAGCTTCCTGCTCCCCGGCATTACAGAAGAAGATTTGCTTTGTTTCTTTCTCAGATTCTGTCCTCTTGCAGTAGCTGCACGTGACTGTTTGTGTCTGAGTGAATGTCCTCTCTGGACGCTACTTGCATTACAGAGGAGTGGTGTGTATGTGTAAGTGAATCGATGTGATGGGAGAATGTTTTCTTGTGTTCGAACAGACATGTGGTACATGAATGAACGGGTATTTTTAGTCTTTGCGGTAAACGATAGTAAAAGGATTCCTTGAGTCAAGTTGATATTTGGTGTGCTGTCCTCTCTGTCTGAGAACGGCTGTGAATTCATTCATATAATTAGTAATTAGAGTACGTGCGCGGCAAGCAGATGTCTTAAACCCGCTCATCATTCCTCTCACAAACACCTCTTTCCTTCAATCACTTTGTGGCCAGTGTCTCTGTCGCTGTCTGTCTCTGTGATCTTCAGACTCTCATTTGAATGAGCCACAGTGATTTGATAATTCACATGAATGAAGTTTCAAGATTATGCAACAAATGTCTTCAATTTGCTGCACTGGAAGGAAATAAGACGGCTCTAATTCAGTAATTCAGTAGTTATTTAAATCTTAAAATGATGATTTTTCTTGTTGTTTTCATGGGCTAAATTATAGATCACAAAGTTAACAGACCTTAAACAAACCGAAAATAAACACATAGGGAAATTTAAAGACCATGAGTTTACTCTGTCTTCTTTCACCTCCACTAAAAAGTCAAATATGTGGGATTCTGATTTGGATCTAATTTGTCCTCACTAATCTGCAAAAGTATTGATGAAATGATTTGAGCTCACTTGGGTAAAAGAAACAGAGTAGAAGTGCTTTAGTGATAGGCCCATTGCATTATTCATTGAACTTAAAAGTGATGATAATTTGGCAATGCAACTTATGATGATGAATAATAATAAATTCAGATTTCTTGCCAGAGACACTGGTAATGTCTTCCTCTCTCAAAGTATTCACAGTAGCAGTTATAGGTTTTGTCTCCATCTTCGATGCTATTTACTGAGGTGTGTCTGAACTGCACTTCTCACACATCTGTTGTCAATCACACATCAAACACTCCAGGGCAGACTTTACCATCACGGTAGGAAACCTGGGCCATTCAATCATTCATTCAACCCACTTGAATACACACTGCATGCAACAGTATGTATTTTGTAAGAGCAGCTGCAGTATGTAATAAAGGTAAAAAGACAAAGTATGTGATTTGGAAAGCAGTCATTTAGACTGATTTAGACCTTATTTATCAACACAGGGTTTACTGTAAATGATTGTCCACAGGACGTTCTTTTTTACTAATATTTACTAATTGAAGCAAACCGAAAAATGCTCATCCCATGCATTGATTCACCAAAAGCTTAATCTGCAAGTAGTATAAAGAAGCAGCAGTCCTGTAGTACAGTGGGGTCATGGAACCCGTAGTCTCAACTCTGTGGTAGTTGTAATGGAGACATGAGTGGACAGACAGGGTCTCTTGCTGATGACATGTGCTGTCACTGCACTGATGACCAAGCAAAGCGTCTCGTCTTTCCCAGCATCATGTCAGTCAGCTGCACATGGTGCTATGACCCTATAGCTGTAACAGGACTCTGTGTGTGTATAGATACTGCATACATCATGATGACGCCTCATGTAAAACATGTTTCCAGTCCAGGATCCGTGACCGGATTCGGCAACTCATATAAATCTCAAAGAACTTCAGTTATTTGGGGCTCTCACCTTTTGATCTTGATATGCATCATATTGTGTTTCATTCTAATTATTTGAGAATGATTAGCCTTTTCTTTTGTTCTTGCCCTTGTTTGTTTAAGTTCTATTCATCTTGTGATGCCAAAATCAAAGGATGAATTTCAAAGGAATCTCCAAATGCATCCTTGAGCATCCTCTTCTGAAGTGAGTCTCATACACCAGGCTCATTGTTTACGTACTGGAAACTGAACTGCTGATTGGATGTTCGGTCCAGCTTCTCATGTTGTGGCCAAAAATCGGAGTTCCTCTCTGGGGAGTGCTGTCCTGTATGACTCATGAATTCTTTACTATCAGTGCGGCATATCTGCTCAATAGGAAGTCACCGCGTCCACTCTTTACTATCCATGTTCTCATCCGTCTCTCGTTAAACCTGCTCAGCTATAATACCTAGGTGTGAGTGGAGCATTTCTGCTGCCATTCAGCAAATGGAAGTCTGTTGAATTGTTGATGATACAGAGATCTACAAGCTTGTCCCCTGGATACATTCATGGAAAGTAGGACAGTGGTGGGCCCTCTATCGCTAAAACATAAGTCTCCCCCTTCTCTCTCTGTCTCTCTTACAGGCCAGCCCTGCGCCGATGATCGTCAACACAGACACTTTGGAGTCGGTTCCTTATGTGAGTTTCTGTGTATTTTTTGAAGCACATATTCAGTAGAAGATCCATACATCCAGCAGATTAAAGCACACTTGAGTAGGAGCCCATTATTACTGAGTTTTAGCTGAGATAGTATGTGTGGTGCGTTACTACATTTTGATCATGTAACTTATCATAGTAACAAATAAGGTTGCAGTTCTGAATTATTGATGTTTGTCATGAATAAATGACTAGCGCAAGACTTCTAAAGACCAACACCTCAGTATTTTACATCAGAACAGAGAAATGAAGCTGACTGGGCTTCAAGTGGTGGTGTATTGTCACGTGTTGGTGGTTATGTTAACAGTTGAAGGTGCTTCTCTATTTTGTGTAGAAATGAGGAAAGGAGCATCTGCCTCAGCCTGTGACATTTTGCAAGCAGTTGTTTGTCCCTGCCAGACAACATTACTGACTTTTACTGAGATATTGTGTTCTTGTGATAGAGTTATGATCATATAGTAGCTTCAGATAAACTCTGCCTCTTTTACTGCCGTTGCTAATTAAGTCTTCAGGTCTTGCTTGCTTCTACAGTCCTATGAGTTCTGATAATAACATCTGATGCTGCTCAAAAATGATGTCCAACTGGGACTATGATATGCAGCGTCTCACATGCTGGTGTGCTATTCCTGTATGAATGCATAATGACAGAAGTGCTCTCTGCTAATTAATCATCTCAGTGAGATACAGGATGGGACTGACTTTGCTGTAGATAACCGCTATGTGGCAAAAACAGCGTATGTTGATTAACCATCACCTTAAATTGTGTCCCTTGAGGTGGCGCCTATTTAGCAGAGAAATCAGTGGCTGAAAACCTGAAAGCCCCTGTTCAATTTAAGTATGGAGAGTTTAGAGCCAACATCATCATCCATGAATAGATCATCGGTCATATTGTGCACCTATTTAACAATAAATGCAAAAATATTAAGAAAAAATCTATTTCTTCAAGGTTTTATGAAATCTAATAATCTTTTCAACAAAATATGATGTGCTTACGTATGCTGGTATCGACCAGTTTCAGCCATTAATATCATGATCTATCCATCAATCTATGTGAATTCAGGAGAAAATTACAGGCAATAGACAAAGAAGTAAAGAAACACCTAAATGTGTATTTCAGATGTTTTCTTTCCAATATTCTGAGAGAACACATGAACAACTATGTTTTGCCTGCAGTGTCTCCCCAATGTTTGAAGGGCTAAAAAACTCAATCTGTTTTCTGTACCCTCAGGTCAACGGCACAGAAATTGAATACGAGTTTGAGGAAATCACTCTAGAGCGGGTGAGTATCTCACATCCCTCACAGCTGTGTTTAACCTCAGATGATCCATGAGAACATGCCTCTGCACTGTGGTCTCCTGAAGGCTTTACAATAACATGCAAGGTAGTGCTAGAGGGAAGGTGAAACATCCATGCTGCGTCTTTAGAGGATCTACGCACAGTTATCTGTTTACATCATGAGCTACTACCAGTCACTTTATGTATTATTATTATTATAGTTATTAGTGTTTCTGATTCAGCATGCAGGCAGCAATGCCCTGCAGGGACTCTCAGTGGGTTTTGTAATCAAGAGAAGCTGCTATTCCCATCAGCTAATGACTTAATCAAAACTTGACCTTCATTTTGTGAGTGGGCATCCAGGGGTATTTATTTGCAGAACCGACAAAGCAGAACAGTCTGAAAGATAGTGTGAGCCCGTAAATACAACATTTCGTAGTGTATCTGTCATGATGGAATCAGGAGAGAGGCTGTATAATGCAAACTGAAGACTTTACATCTCTGAACACTTTGTAATTATGCTGAGAGCAGAGACACTGTACAGCCATACTGTTAAACTGCCTCAATATTTCATTGACTTTTAAAGAAATTGTTCCTTGCAGTACATGCAGTTAGTTGATGTGTTGGCATTTTGGCACACTACATACAGAATGAGACTGCCTGTCCTTGACTGTTTTCCATGGCCACAGGGTAACTCAGGGTTGGGCTTTAGCATCGCCGGAGGCACAGATAACCCACACATTGGTGACGACCCCGGCATCTTCATCACCAAGATCATCCCTGGAGGAGCAGCAGCCGAGGACGGACGGCTGAGGTCAGTCACTTCCACTTCCCCAGACAGCTTTTCAAGAGGAGATAACTAGAAAAGTTTTCTGACCTGACACGGAAAAAACGTGCATCTCTCAAAAACACGTGAGAAAAGAAACGTCCTGTAAGAGGATGACTTAAAGATAATCTCTCACCACTCCACTATACCACAGCTTACTCCTCCACTACTGCACTAGATAATCTGCCCTCAGAAATGTTGCATATAGCACATATTTAAGATATTATACGGCAGTATCATTGCTCTGAAGCAGACTAAAACTTGTGGTCAACACTGGCTCTCTTGCCAGTTTATCTTGATGATGCCTTATATTTCTATGAATCAAAATTCATTCTATATATATTGACAACATTACTTTTAAACTATTTGTGTCCATTAGCATGGACATTAACTCTAATCGCAAATCACAGACATTAACCTTCTGTTCATTTAATCTCAGGAGTAGCTTAAAAACTTTTTTTTGGTTGAATTTGAGTCTCTTCTCTCTCCAATTAAAACCCACATCAACAAACCTTCATTACTCTGCAGCATCAGCGCGTACTGAGCTCTGATAGTCACTTCACACTGTATTGCTTTAGGGGGACCCACATCCTTAACATTATTAAATGAACGGATACAGTCCATCAGATCCTTTGCTACAGTAGTTTATCAAGGAGGCAAGGACTCAACATGAGCTCACTATTCACTCTACTGGGTGAAAGTCTTCGTGAACACTCTCACGTTAAGTATGAAACTGGAGAGCCACCGCTTTACTGACAACACTTTGGTCTTGTAGAACATTTTGTTAGATCCAGGGGTTCTCTGGCCCGATACGGGGCTACCTACTGACTCAGCTCTCTATTAAAAGATTGGCGAGCTGGTGTTCTGCGAGGAAACTCGCCTGGCTCTGCTAACTACCGTTACTCCTGACGTCTACCCTGCTTCCTCCGGTAACGTGCACTCGGCCGAGGGGCCACCCTGGCCGGGTGCTTCTACCAGTCGCGTCAGTTATGGCAGCTTTCCTCTTCTGGATCCGGGCTCTTGGTAAATTGCCAGGTTAGGATTTAACGGCTAGGAATTACAACTAAAACCGTAAGGGACTGTTAAGTGGACCGGTCACGAGGATAACCATTAAGAACTCTTGTTGTTAAACATACAATAGATTTAACCTTTAATGCCACGAGGGACTTTACTATTTCAGCAAATGAATTCTCTTGAGAAATTTACTTTAAATGCAGATTAGATATTTATTGCAGGATATATATATATTAGCAGGGGCACAGCAACAGCTCACATAAAATCATACTACACTTAATTCGATACTTTTAATTCTTTGATTATACTCATTAATTTTCGATGCCGAGGTGGCTCAGTGGAGCTGGATTCTTGATGTGATAAAAAGTCCTTTTGGGTTTTGTAGGAGCGAAGGTCTGGCCTGACCTTCAGCTCCTCCTGCGCGGCCAACAAAGTCCATTCAGCGATCCTTCAGGCTCAGTACAAAGTCTTTAGGGCGGCTGCGTCCATCTGTTGTCCGGTTGTTAAAGTCAAACAGGGGGGAGAGGAAATCTTCGTCTTTCAATCTTTGTCCAGGAACGGCTGTCTTCTTTCCGTGAACAGAGACGAAGTCCTCCGATGCTGCTGTCGAACGAGGTCCAGTGTTTCTCCGTGGAGCACTTGGTCGGCGTCCCGTGATGAATCCCGTCTTGCTGTTTGCAAGTCACTCTTTTTATAACACTTGTGGACTGTCTCTCCCCTCCCTTCCCCAACACTCCCTAACTCGGCGCGTGATTAACATGACATCATTGATTTTGAGTATGTGCTAGGAAAACACCCAACTTTCTGTGTGTGTGTGTGTCATTACTTCATCAGTCGTGTGTCCGGTTACACCCGTAGATGTGCTCGAAAACACCCAACATCTGTTATGACCTCAGCTTCTAAGGTCCACCCTTGCTTACTTCCCCTTACATCAGCTCTTTCTACACACACAGACTTCACTTTACTCCGATACACATACATTATTATTATTATCAGTTTACATTTGTTAAATCATTACATATCTGTTATGTACTACACACTTGCTTTAAAATGATTATTAGATTTCATCCTTTAAACTATAAGTATACGCTTTGTGCCCTTTTAGCCTGATTCACATACCGAACATGTATTCCTTTATTTAAGGCAGCCTTCATGGGATCTCAACTCTTTTTGACAATTTGTTGGACCTTTTCTGGTGTAATGCAAAAGTATATGTGCCAGCTAATTTACATCTCTGACTGTATCCTCAAAACAGGTCATCCAGTTGTCTAAGAAGCAGCATTAGAGTGTCCCCCTGTAATTACAACTGTAAGGAATCTGTCCTGATATTTAATTGTATTATATTTGTTGATCTAGCAATTATGGCAGCAAGGAAATGCATTCTATCCATCATTGTTATTTTGCCATCAGTGGGCAGTCACAGTGTTGGATTTCCCATCGAATTATTTGAAAAGACTTCAAATAACACTAAAGGAAAAAACCCTGATAATCATACAGATTAACATTTTGATAACATTTCTTGTTTTTTGTAAACATTTATAAACTATTTAATAAAGAAACAATAAACCAAAAATCTTTTTATATTAAAGTAGAAGTGATGGATGATGCTGGTTCGTGGTTTCAGGCCAGCTCCTGTTCTTTATCCAAGCCTCAGCTCTGCAGAATTACTGTCAGATCACAGATGCTAGAGGGGAGCGTAATGCATGCACACCGTCAATCTGGGGCAGATAGCAGGAGTAGCAGGCCGGCATAAATCACTCTTAGCCTAATTGATGGTCACCCATTCCTAGGTGGGCAGCATGACTAATTATGGATGGAGTCTAATCTCTGGGAGGAAGGAGGCCTGAGAGGGATTTGGTTATACCATTATAGAGCCAGACACACTTCCTAACTGTCACTGCTGTGGGACGCTGGGGCAGAGCACTAAGCATACTTAATGCAGCCGCTCGGCTTCAGGGGCCGCTGTGAGCGTTTTAAGTGTTTCTCATGGAGTCGGTTGTTTTGGAGGGTAAAAGCATGGTTGTAGTCAAGACTGAACCCACAATATCCCCACTGCTTTATTGGTATATACAATTTCCATTAACCTATATGAAATGTATTTAGATCTTACTTCAGATTTTTCTCACAATCTCGAGCTTTATTTGTCATTGTCTGTTGTTCATTTAGTAATCACAGACAATAGGTCTTTGTTTAGCTACTTAAACACAAAGCTCAAAATAACAACATACTGAATGTATACTGCGAAGTATAGGTTAAAAGGATATTGCTAAAGGATATGATGTGGAAGTATGCAGATCTTTATGCTCTGCTTTCCTCTGGTTGAAGTGTGTGCGTATGCATGGGATTTAGTGTGTGTGTGGGGGGGGTCCCAGCTGTTCCCTATTGACCCTCAGGAGAGTTGTGTCCTTGAGTGCTAGGGCATGGATGATTTGGTCAACACCTCAGGGGAATTCAAACTGAGCCGCTTGCTGACTCTGATATTTACACAATGGTGTGCTGGAACTCAGTGTGCCCCACTCTGTCTCTACATCCCAGACATACAGCTACAAAGGGTGTAATATGCACAACACAGCCTGCAATCTAAAACTCATATGTGAGCACATGGGTCAACACTGCACAGTAAATAGGATCTACAGCCAAGAAACACACACAGTCTCCTCTGTCATCAAATGTGTGTGTGTCTACAGGGAGACGCAAATAATAGAACTACTCTGGCTGTACTGTGAACATGTTAGTATGTTAGTTCATTTGTGTGTGTCGTTGCTGTTTTCTAAGCATAAAGTTGTTCTTAACATGGTCTCATCTTAACTGTGATTAGAGCTCTTATGATAAACATGATTATCGTGTCAAAATAATTCACGATAATATTATCACGATATCTAAAGAAAATTTAAAATAATGATGCTATCATTCAAATTCATTTTTAACTTTGTTTAAGTGTTTCGTCTCTTTTTCAGCAAATGAATTACACTGAAAATATGAGGCCAGGGAAGAGAAGAGAGTCTGTAACTTTAACTATATATATATAAAATATAGTTATTTAAGATGTGCTGGATTATTACACAATATCATATATATATTAATATGATATAAATATTTCATTTTTAAATATGGTTTTGATCAATGCCTGTAAATGGTGACACCCCTCATTGTGATAGAACAGCTCTTAATAAAAATAGTAAACATGTGAATTCATAAAAGTTAGTTTGTTTGACCTTAAAAAAACTCATGTAAAAAACCTTTCCCAAAGTGACTGCTGAGAATCAGCCTTACAAACACTTACACTGTTTTACCAGTTACTTCCCTCTGCAATCGTCACCCTGGACAGATTTAAATTCAGTCAATCCCCTGTTCTTGTCAACCAGAGTTATAACAGCGTTAGATCTATTTCACGTGTGTGTCTTTTGAAATGTGTTTTAAGTTATTCGTCAAAGGAGATTCTTTTGTTGCTTTGTGACATTGATGCACAGTGTTCCTCTTCCAGAGTAAACGACTGCATCCTGCGGGTGAACGACTCAGACGTGTCTGAAGTCTCTCACAGTAAGGCAGTAGAAGCCCTGAAGGTTGCAGGTTCTATTGTTCGGCTGTACGTGCGGCGCCGCAGGCCGATGCTCGAGACCATCATTGAGATCAAACTCATCAAAGGACCAAAAGGTGAGCTCAGACACACACTTGACTGATATTCACTCCTGTAAGGTGTGAATATTACATTGATTTCATGTCAGTGGTCACTGTTAATGCAGCGTGTTTTGTGTAAGGCAAAGTAAAATAAAAGATATACTTTTTAATCGCATGATTTTTTTTGCGATTAATCTCATTGTTATGCGCAAAGTTCAATAATGAATTCAAAACGAATGTATTGCGCACTTTTATTTTAAAAGTACTGCTATATGAACAAGTGTGCAATAACATTTGGTTTGCAAACACTTTAAACAAATAAGGTTCTTTTTCGCAGCAGTATTCCCTTTACACAGTAGCAGTTATAATACAGTTATGATTCTGATAATAGATATTCAGCCGGTGTTCACAACTTTATCTTCATGTGTGTAATAGATGCAATTTGAAATATACACCTTGCAAACCTATCTACGTCATGTTTGTTAAATTCTCAGTAGGGATATCTAAATGATGCTTATTATACATATTACAAACAAAACACAAAAAAACTCTAAAAACTAAAAATAATTTTAATGAATCATTGCTTTTTTTGGTCAGACATATGCAACGCTGATTACCGTAATATGTGTGGTATTTGTTATAAATGTACGTTGGTACATAGAGGGTAATAAGAAGCTGTACATGGAGGGACTTAGGACCCAGGGGAGTGTAGGTGAAGGAAACAGGAAGTGACGCCACACAAACAGCTGTTCACCGCTCGTCGTTCCTGTAATGAGACGATCGCGCAGGGGCCGACGGTGACACAGTGAAGTGGGGGTTCCGGACCGGGCGTGTCACCCGGGGGGGGGCAGCAGGAAGTGATGCCACACAATTACAGCTGTTCACCGCTCGCTGCCCGGTTCTTGCGTTAAAAATATCAGCTTAATAAAAATTTTTAAAAAAAGCTGCGCTAGCCTGTGATAATATAATTGTCGCTGTTAATTAATGAATGCGTTAACTTGCCAAACACTGTTCTTTGACCATGTCTCAAGTTTAGCTGAACTGGTTTCAAACAGGGTTTTCCTCGGCCCAATAAAAGTAAAAATATTTAGATACATATGCTGTATAGCTTGATACATGATCATTATGGTATTGTCTGATGCCTAACATAAATCTCTAATACATACAACTCAGAAACTAACCAACTACTTTCATATATGCAAACACACGCACAGGGCTTGGCTTCAGTATTGCAGGTGGAGTTGGAAACCAGCACATCCCTGGTGACAACAGCATATACGTCACCAAGATCATCGACGGCGGGGCAGCACAGAAGGATGGCCGGCTACAAGTAGGAGACCGGCTGTTAATGGTGAGTACAAGTGTATATAAGTTAGTATACAGCATATCATAATATTTAGTATCTATCTATCTGTGGTGGAGGACTCAAATGCAGACAACACCAGAAGTAGAGTGAAGCAGGTATTTAATGAATAGAGAACAGGAAACTTACAGGAACACAACAGGGAATCCATGGACGAGGCAGGGCGGGCAGGCAGGCAGACAGGGAAACCGGGAAAAGGACGAGCCAAACGGGCCGGTAGACATGGCAATGATCTGGCAAGGAGTGACTGAGAGGCAGGGGTTTAAATAGTGGCTGGATAGAGGCAGGTGAAGGGAGTTAGGCTGATGATGAGGGAGGCTGACAGGTGCACTGAATGAGCTGATAGGTGAGTGAGAAATAAAGAGACAGGAGAGAAGGGGCAGAGCTGTGACAGTCTGTCTGTCTGTCTGTCTGTCTGTCAACTAGCAGTGTATCAATCAGACACTCTTCCTGCAGCTTTAGTCTAAACAATGAAATGAGTCTGTATCTGACATTAGCTCAGTAGTATAACAGCAAGCTCTTCTTGAGGAGGGCATCCCTCTTGCTTAACCAGCGCTTAATTTAATTACCTTCCTACTGTTGTGTTCACACCCGAACACCATCTGTCATCATCCCTATAGACAGGGAGCCTGCTGGTCGGTCTGATCTGAGCAGCCTCTAAAGCTCCTGATTAAACAAACGGGGACTGTTTCTGTGTCTGGACAGGTGAACAACTACAGTCTGGAGGAGGTGTCTCATGAAGAGGCTGTGGCCATTTTGAAGAACACGTCGGACGTGGTTTACCTAAAGGTGGGAAAGCCCACCAATGTCTACCTATCAGATCCCTATGGGCCTCCTGATATCACACACTGTAAGTCCTCAGCTCTTGTATTTGAACTTGGCCAGTCATCTGCTGTTGGAAGAGTTTAGACTAAAAGTGTGTCATGTGTAATGTAATGTGAGATGTGTGTGCAAATACACATCTGCAGTCATTGATTTTTGCCACACACAACATGTTATCACCACGGTAACTAGAAAATATTGAACTGCACACACACTTGTGAAAAGATTCTTTGTTTTCGTATGTATGATAGTTAATATAGATGTTTAGTGCTGCAGTCAGATTTTAACCCTAAATTGCTGTATTTTGAAACTAAACAGGAATACAAAATAGAAAAAATTATAAAAACAAATTGACGTACTTGATGTCATGGAAGCATGTGTCAGCTAGTTTTGTCTGTTAAAGCAGCTGCCTCTGTTTTCTCTCTCTCTCTCTCTCTCTATCTGTCTCGCTCTTCCTCCACAGCTTTCTCTCCAGCAATGGAAAATCATATCTCTTCCCCTGTCAACAGTGGCACTCTGGAGTACAAGTCTGGTCTCCCTCCCATCTCCCCTGGAAGTTATTCCCCCCTCCCTAAGCACTTACTTGGGGAAGAGGATATAAACAGGTTGGATGGTTTTTCCTTCTTACGGTAATTACCTCCCTTCCTACCAGACAACTAAAACTACAGGTAGATGTGTCCCCTGTCTCCTTCTTCTCCTGTCTGATCTCTGTTTGTGTAAGTAATCAAAACTCCACGAGGAGTTATGATGCAATTTGAAAACACATCTTGTTTCTCTGTGTTTGGAACTTTTGGTTTTATTCTCATAGTCTGTGTCCAGTTTCCACTGCAGTGTTTTTCAAAGAAGGTTCTGGTTCGATTAAGTTGGGTCCCCCTTGATTCGCAATCAGGATCGGCAACATATTTACTGAAACAATTATTTATAAAATAGACGGTTTCCCAGAAACTGCTAATTGAAAACCACTGGTCTGCTGTGTTTCTGTTGTACTGTGTTGTGTTTGTGCCTGAATGTCTCTTTTTATGATTTCTTTCTGAACATTGTGTTGTTCAGTGCATTGTGACGCCTGTCGGTAAACCACTGGAGCATTAAGCACATCAGAACCATAGCACTTTTGTTGTCTGTGTGTCGGTGCTATGAGCTGTGGTTGTGAAAGGCTTTGGTAATGTTGGTTATTATCAGTGGAAATGATGTTGTTATCGTAACGGCAGCCTCAGGTCCAGCAGCAGTACCATCACGGCACAGTGAGACAGATGTTCAGTCTGTCTTTCCTGTTTGTGTGACTAGACAGCAATCATCAGGGCTTTGTTGTGTATTTTACAGGGAGCTGTTGACTTTTGGTTCTTAAAAATGTATAAAAAAAACCTCATGACGCATGCCCCAATAATAATAAGGCCATTCTGCCCTAGTGTAAGAGGGAAAACCAACTTTCTCACACAAACTAAATGAAAATGCGATCAAAACCCAGTCTCTGAACATTCATGAGCTCTGAAAGTTTCAGAAAATGTCTGCTGTGCTTACTCTCCCTGTTTTTGTCCTGTTCCGTATGTATTTCACTACCTGTTGGGTGTACAGTCACTACTCCCAGTCCAAACAGAAGAAGACTTAAGATGTCTCACTGGAGTGAGTCACAGCCAGAAATGAGCAGCTCTCTAACACCTAATCCCATAGCAAGCTGCCACGAGGCTCCGGCCCAAGCAGGCCATATTTCCTATAAAGTCAAATCTAAGAGTAACGTGTGTGTGCTCGGGGGCTGGTCTGAGTGGCGGTCTCATCGGTTCTATGTAACTGCATTAGACGACTGACAAATGACAGCAGATTGTTCGGATGATTGGTGGATATCACAATTAACTAACGCACACGTACATTCCATAATTCCACAATGCTTCTCCGTTCGATGAGGTCATTGTTGTTCGCTGTAGCAAGAATTATGTTGTGTTGTAAATAAATGAGCGGTGGAGCAGAGTGATAACAAAAGCTCATTTGAGAGGATAAGTGAAGGAGCCCCGTGTTAAGCTTTGTGGAGTGAAGGATTAGTGCTCCATTCTCTCTGGAGTTAAGAGGTTTACTATTTGCTCTTGGACAAGGTGCCTGACATTACCCTGCTGCCCTAAAGTGAAGCACTCTGCTCTGAACGCTGGGTTCTACACATACAGTCAGAACAAACGGTGTGAATACTACAACGCCATGTGGATCCTCACTTACGGTAATAGCTGACGATGAGTCATCATCAGTAGCTTCTTTCATTTCATCACTGATGTGAAGTAGAATAATTGTTCCTTACAATTCTGCTAAATATTGATAAAACGGTTGGGAGAGAGTAGAGGGGAGAACCCTTCTGCTATACTTCCTCTAGATATCCTGTGCTCACAGCGATATGGAGCCACAGTCTTCATGGAGATACTGTACTAAGAGGAGTGAAAAATAACCTAGACAGGAGAGCAAGAGTGGTAGTGTTTAAGGTTTGCACATTTTTTGCAATCATGCTAAGAAGAATTTAATGAAAGATCATACCGAAATGATGACTTGATTATTACATTACAAGTAATATCTTATAAGTTCTATGGCTGTTATACAGTAGGGTGTGAAGTCCAAATATTAGGCACTGTATTGTTCAACAGCTCACTGTATTGTCGTCAGTTTTCTTCAATCTTTTTGCCAGACATTTTAAAACTTCTTCTTTAAGGAGTAACTCCATGCAGGGCACTACATTTGCCATTTGAAAAGAAGTTCAGAAATGCAGAGTTCCTGTACTGGAACTCCAAAACCTAAGTTGAAGGCTAAAGAATAAAAGAAACTGAGCGGTGAACCGCAGCTGTACAGTCCAGACTCTAAAGTGCACCTATGGGTCCTCACAAGGTCACTGTGTTTTGGTGTGATCTGTACTGACCGGCTGCCTCAAGTCAGCTCATTTCACTGTGAATGATTCAGCAGCAGAAACGGAGCCAACTGTCCAGACATCTCACCAGTGGATCCTTATTGACACTCGGTACAAGCACAGAATCTAGCAATCAAATTAGAAGAACAGCTGGTTTGGAATATTTGCTCTAAATAAATGAAAGACATCCTTCACACGTCTGATCTCTGACCTTTGTCATGCATTAAGCTTCCACCCTGCAGTGTTCGCCCTCCTCTCTTGACATTTTCTGGAGGAAAACACTGTGTGAGCACATGAAGTGACCTCATTTTGTTTGGACTCGATTTCCATCTTCAGCCACAGTCTGCCAGAAGGGACAGAGTTTCTTGGTGATGATGTTTTCATGTTCGAACAGGATGCAAACACACAACAGTTGGTCACAGAGAGAGAGAAGGCAGGAGGAGGAAGAGAGAAGTGTGGAGGTGTAGCCGGCCAAACAGTGACATCACGAGTCTAGTCCATGCGACTGTTTGTGTGGCTGTGACATCAACAGCTTACACGTACACACACATTGTGCACAAATTAGTCCCTTCCAAACTCGCATACTGTACTGCATGTTAACACGTGTGAATCCACATCAGTTCACAAACAGCAGCCATGCACTCACTGAGTGTTCACAGAGTGTCTAACCAACGATATGGATTCGCAGCATGTCTGCAGCAGATTAGACCTACTGTTCATGAGCTAGCACAGATGAGCTCACTCTGTCTGGTGTTGATGATGAATCCCTCAGTCCTTTTAAGGACATGGCCTTTTCTGTTTTCAGCTATCTTGTTTTGTTCTATGTAACATGCCACCAAGTGTGTCTTTCATCAGTGTCTTAATGTGAGAAAATCAATGGTAAAAGTTGGTTATCAATGGTTGGTTATGAAACGTTGACTTTTTCCATCCCATTAGAAATCCCTCGTTAGATGACGGGGAGGGTCGCAGGTTTGATTCCCAGCACTTCCAGTTGAGGTGAGATATTTAGCGTCTCTGTCACCTACTGCATGCCCCTGCATGTTCCTCATCGTTTGTGTTTTTTAGCGCAACAAATCGTTGGAAATAAAAATTCAATCATTAGACTTTTTTTAAGCATGAGACATTTACATTGGGAATCGGATGCCTGACTATATGTGATGTATAAATTCTAATGTACTGTTGAATGTTTCTACTTAAATTTCTCCTCAGAGATAATGTTTCTATTATATTACAAAATATGGTGACTTTTAACAATGTTGGCATACATTCTTATGTTGTACAAAAGAGAAGATTATTCCCTATTGAAATAAGTTGATTCAATTAAAGTCTTAAATGGGAACTAAGGCCATAATCACAATTCATACATGTTATACTGTGCTGCAAGAATGAGTCCAAAATCTGGAAAAGAGTCCGCATTTTTGCACGTCCGGTTCCCTCGTCTCAAAGTCAATGGGTTTTTTGAATGTGTTTTCGGTTAGATGCCTGAAGTAACAACACATTCTCAGTCCCAACTTGTCAAATCCCGTCATTTAGTCAGTGCCCCTTGGCATCAGTTATCGATGCACTAGGTACCCTCCTCGCGTTAGTTTTCAACGTGTCAGGACGTCGTTTCAAAATACGCTCATTACATGCATAGTGTCCTTTCAAAATAAACTTTGGTTTTCATAAGAAGTTTAGGCAACAAAACCATTTATTTAGGTTTAGGAAATGATTGTGTTTGCAGTTAACTTCACTGACTAACGAGTCACCTGACCACTGACTGACGATCTGTCACTAGAGAATCACGGGACTAACAATACTGAGTCACGTGACTAACGACTGACATGATGATACTAACGTTACAAAAATAAATGTGACAAAATAAGATAACGTTGACCTTTAGTTTCTCATGGGGCACAAACAGCGGCCTCCTGTGTTTGTTAAATGTAAGTACCATAAACTTATTTTCTGCAAACTCCAAAATCCAATGAAAAATACCTTTTTTTTTTTTTTTTTTTTTTTTTTTTTTTCCCTCCAAGGGAACCAGTGCAATACTAACTTCCTGGTTGGCCTACAAAGATACATCATCCCTTCAGCACTCTATTGCTATGGTCTAAGACAGTCCAAATATATTCGTAAACATAAACGACTCTCTCCTAAATCCTAAATCTAGAGTGCTAAATTTGAAATGCATGATGTCATCAAGTGTAAAGTGTGGAACTGCTCCATAGACGATGTTCTTGATGACACTGAGAGCACTGGGGGAATGTTCTGAGGATATGGTACATTTTCTGTTTTACCACTGAGGACACGAATAGAATATTACCCATTTGTGTATAAAAGAAAACACAAAATCATTCTCACATTCATTGTCTCCATAGACATAGCTCCACACTTTATACTTATGACATCACAAGTGAGACTTCTCTGGTTCCTGGCTCTGATGGAGAGTACATAATGTTCACAAATATTGATTGAACTTTCCTAGTCCATGGAAATAACTTTGTAGAGTTCTGCCTTTAGCTAAAGAGTGTCGCCAATAGATGACTTTCTGGTGAGAATGCTACATTAAAGCAAGAATATGACATTTGAAAGAAGAAATAACACAATCCGTCTCTTGCAAATAAATTTAAATTGATAAGCAATTATACACACTGTTTCTCAATCCAACACACTCAGGAGATTTACCACTAGCTAATAGTGGCTAACGTTAGAAAACTGAAGATGTTTATTGCTTTGTGAGTCACTTCACTGACTTTATGACTACGATGAATTAAACCTGTAGATCACAATATTGGTAAACAACATTTAAAAGCTCCTGGATCAGTTTGCTGACTACATTTTGACAACAGAAATGTAATTCCTTGAAACTATAAATCATTTAAGCTCTTAAATATCAAATAATATTGATACCACCACCACATAGTTTAATGGATAACCATGTCTGCTGAAGAACCACATTCACTTTAAAACATAAACATTGTAGGAATGCTATAAGTACATCATATTATGCAAATTAAAATGTGTTAACTCCTGTACTCCTGCAATAAACCAATGTATACAATTACAGTTAGTCAGATCCCCCATGCCGGAACATGAACTCAACAATTTGAATAGTTTATTATTCATTGAAGTCATATATCAAGCATAGAGTGCTGAACATTCTCTGGTTCCATCTTCTGTTCTTTTCACAGCAAACTGAAACTCTTTGGGGTTTAGACTGTTGGATAAAAAGCAAAAAAGCTTATTGATGCCCAGAGCATTCCCAGTCATTCAGATATTTTACTGGCTGAGCGATTCATCAATTGATCAAAAATGATTCTAACAGGTCCGCTGATAATGAAATACTTGTTAGTTGTAACGATAATATTAGTGTCATATTAGTGTAGCTGGCAGGAAATGAGTTGGCTCAAGTGCCTTTTCTTTTCAACATGTAAAGCATGCTCTCTCTGACTTCAGTGTTTTGACCAGCGAGAACCATTTACACCATGTAGCAGTACTTCCTCCTACTCTTTCTGCTGCGTCTTATGCTGCTTTATTTCTATTATTCTTCCTGCCTTTTATCATCTTTGTTTATCCAGACCCTTCGTCCCCGCCTTCGTCTCTGGACACTAACCTCTCTGCTCTTGTCTCTCACTCCACTGTAGGCCTCCTGAGCCAGTTTACAGCACTGTGAACAAATTATGTGACAAAGCACCCTCCCCCCGACACTATTCACCAGTGGAGTGTGACAAAAGCCTCCTCCACTCCGTCCCCCTCCCATATCACTTAAGCCTGTTCCCTGACTCGGACTTCACCAGGTACTTTCCACCACCACCTCTCTTGCCTCCACCACTCTGTCCCATCCCTCCATATGAATGGCATGCCATGATACCATTGGTCCTTTACAACCACCTGGGTTTCTCCAATGAGCTCAGTTGCTTGCTCTCTTCATTAACCACTCCTTGGTGTTTTCTCAAACTAGCATGCTCTTCCTCCCTCCTCTTCCCTCTCTCCTCAGGGCTCTGACTAAGCAGGAGCCTTGTAGCCTGATCACCTACAAAATGTTATCCAGTGACGGAAGAAGTGCTCAGTAGCACTACACTGTTGAAATACTCTGTCACAAGTACAAGTCATTCGTTTAATACTTTAATTCAGTAAAAGCTAAAAAAGGGTCTATTTCAGAATAATGTTTAGTATATAATTGGATTATAATCAATGTTGCAGCTGGTAAAGGTGGAGCTCATTTTAATGACTTTATAAACTGCTAGCTAGTTTGTAAAGTCCCCCCCCCAGGGAGAAAACATACATCTCATCGTATCTTAACCTATGATATTACATCATAGTTTATTTGTTGATTACATGTTGTGTTTATAATCTGACACTGCAACGTAACTAAAGTTATCAGATAAAGGTAATGCCTTTTGAATTGTAGTGGAGTAGAAGTATTTAAGTAGCAGAGAATAACAAGTACAAGCACCTCAAAATTGTTCTTAGGCACAGTTCTTGAGTAAATGTACTTTGTTAATTTCCAAAATTGTTTTTCATCACAGTTTGGCTTCGACAATTTTCTGTCACAAGTGCACAATATATTGTTTGACACACAATCGATACTTCAAATCAAACAGCCTGAGCCTGAAACGTAGACTAACAGACTTAGTCTACCTGCAGCCTTTCACAAAAAGATCATAGATATCTAGCTGATTTCATTGCTCCCTTGTTTCCGTTCTGTTCTTACAGTAATCAACAGATTTTAGTCATCTATCGGTGTCATTTCTCTGATCTCTCACCGTGTTGGGGTGGCGCTCATAAGACTTCAGGTGTTTTTTCTTTAAAACCGTTGCAATTAGTAAACATCATATGACCGATGAGATGCTATGTGAGTATTGCCATCGCCTCAGTAGAGTGAGAGAGGAAATCCTCACGGCTCTGTCTCGCTTTACTGATTGGTGGAGCTAAGATGGAAGGAAGAGATGTGAGTGAGTTGACCATGTTAGCCAAATGGAAATGTAAAGTCATGGATTGGATCGGTAATAAATGTGTATGCTGCCAAAGTGACGAGTGACCTGGTTCGTTAGGTACAAACTTTAACTAACTTAATTCTTTCAACCTCGATCTTAAACCTCATACCACCTCTCTGTATCGATACATACATTCACCAAAATCTGTTGGTTTTACAGTAAAATAATGCTTTTGTGTGTATACATATACCTTCGTATATTTTAGTGAATATGTGTGTAGGGCCATGTTGCTGCCTGCGATGTCCAAACATATTTGTTACTGCTCTGCCTGTATCAATCAAACAAAACGTACTTTTTACTGGTGAAGTAGTAGTACAATACGCACATGTTATGAATAGTCATTTTAGTTCTATTAACACGGTAGCTTATCTTCACCATCTGGTGTGAATGTGAATCCTCTGCCGGCTGAACGGAGAATCTAGGGATGATGTTTGTAAAGGGTGTAATTTTGCGCTAAAATAATAATGTTAATATAAGTAAAAGTAATTTGACTTGTCTTCAACCCTCCATACTGAACAAAGCAGCAGCAGAGGTTCTGCTCATGTGGAGATTTCATTTTGGCAGGTTGTAACACACAGCTTATGTCTCGAGAGTTTGTCTCATGAGACACTGTAGCTCTACCAATTCATTTTAGATTTTAAAATTTTTCGGTTTTGTTCCACCTTGCTGTGCTTCTCACAACCCTTTTTCTTATAAATGCAAGAGTTTAGTTTAACATTTTCCATGCAAAACCACCTGAATTAATTAGTACCCTCATCCTGGTGTCATCCAGTTTGATCCTGACTCTGTTCCTTAGATTAACAATCTTCATACATTAAGGTGTCTCTGATACAGTACAGAGATATTAACTTATTGTAACCTATAGTTAATAATGTCCCATGATTATTCATGCATTTGCCGTAGGGGGTTGATTCAGTGTCTCATGTGAACCATGCAGCTCTAATAACAGCAACCCGTCAGTCCCAGAGTGCTTGTTTTCTAATGAAGGATCATTGACTGTTCACAGACATTGTGGTATGAGAACAATTCTCTCCTCTGCTCTTTGCATGAATGAGTCCTTCATCTGTTCCACAGCAGCGTTCTGCAGGCTCTTATCTATGGATAACTTAGACTAACTGTCAATTCAGTCTGTAGGGCATCAACATTGCTTTGCAAAGGTTTTTCTCATAAAACCTGCAGGGTTGCAAAAATGGTTGAAAATGGCAGAGGGAAGATTGTTCTCCCTTAGAAATGCCTGAACTCATTCAAATCAGCCTGTGGCTGGTGACTGGTTTCACTGTGACTGGATTCATAGAGAGGGTGATTTCACAAATAAAAATGTTTTGCAGTTTAGCAAAAACATGATGTGGTTTGGCTCTTTGGTCAAGTTATAACCGCCAAGTTTTTGTTAAAGCCAGAAACTGATGTATCGTCAAACGATGCTGATAGGAGGCTGGCTTGTTGACAGGGACAGACACTAAATGGAGGTACTGAAACATTTGGAGAGCCACAGAGGACACATGATTGGTTCTGCTCCCAATGATGTGGCTTTGCTTCTTCATGCTTCAGTAGTTTGTGTTTTCACCAGCAGGTGACAGTGTGCTGCTTACAATCATGATGACGTTCATTCATGAGGAAGTAGTTTGATTTCAGTGTTTAGTGTGCTCGATACCATTGCTATTTGACAACACAGGGGAATAACTACTGTTTTTAGACAATGGGTTTCACTCTGCATCATCTCTCCGTGTACATTTTCATATCAACTTTATTTTTGTCCCTGAAGGGCAACTGGTTTTACATTAAGCAATATAACATACATGAAGGAATATACAGTAGATAGACACTACAATAAGAGGAAGGAGAGGGCTCCTGAAAACAAGTGGACTAGTCCAACAACAGTAGTCACTGGTGTCTAACTCACACTTCCACAGTGTTCAAAAGCACAGCAGCAATAACGTCTGAAAAATAAATTCAAGTCAGACAGAATGAATACTGGCGGAGTATGGCCATATAGTACTAATACAGACCAGACATGTTAAAGGATCAACTTCTCTGCCATCATAACGCATGTCTTCGTCAGCAGCATATATGTCAACAAAGAAATCACTGTTGCCATCATCATCCGCATCATCAACAACATGAACCACATCATCATATCATCAGCTGCATAGGCTGCCTTGAACCAAATCTTCTTCAAATGAGTCTGTGGCCTAAAGTATGTCAGTGTTTGAGTCAACCCTATAGGAGCTTGTGTCCTTCAGTTTATGTCTGTAGACATCCCGTATGTGTGTGTGTGTGTGTGTGTGTGTGTGTGAGAGAGAGGGAGGGAGGGAGGAATCAAGCCAGTGTGTGTGAGCATGTGACGAGGTTCCTTTTTTCCGTCGCAACTGAATTGGGGACAAGTGATCCTAAGTAGAGCACCATCCCCCCCGTGAAGCTCCGGCAGTCTTTGAGCTCCGTTGCCTGAGCAAAGCATCACTGAGGCTTTGGTCGACGTACCTCGCACTTATTGTCCACCTCTGTCGCAGCCCGAGCCAAAGATGCTGAAACCCAACGACTCCCCCGAGCTGATGTACTATCTGAACTGTCTGTACAGGGAACCCAGGAAGGTGATGCTCCACAAAGGCTCCACGGGCCTGGGCTTCAACATCGTGGGTGGTGAAGACGGAGAGGGTATCTTTGTCTCCTTCATCCTGGCAGGAGGGCCTGCCGACCTGAGTGGAGAGCTGAGGCGAGGCGACCAGATCTTATCGGTGAGTAGATACAAGACACACAGCCATGTTGGAAAATATTCCAAAGGGATTGTGATCATAAGTCTTGGATCATTAATTGATAAGTCACCATCTGGATTTAGAGTTTGGGATCAAGTGTTGTACAGTAGAAATGTATGGCCTATTGATTGAAAATGAATATAACAGCCTTTCTTAACTCAGAATACAAGCTGCTTATATACAAAATATATGCAATCACCTTACCTGTTACATGATGAAAGTCAGAAGTGATCACAAAAAGACCTCAACTAATAGAACAAAGCTGGAAACTACAAGGTTCCCTCACTGCCGGTACAGATCTACTTTTAAAGAGTTAAAAACTGTGTTCCCCGCATATTTATAGAGACTGTAATAGTCCTACTAGCCTAGATTAATTTTCTAGGCCAACCTGGTCTTTTTTTTCATCCCTGCAGTATTTCTCCAATATTACCAGATGTGGTGTGTCTGAGTTACTGTAGTTACTAGACTGTTTGTTTATTGTTTGCTGATCTTGTTAACTGGTATGGTAATAGCCTTAGAAGTTGGATTGTATTCCTGGGCTTCCAATTCAGAACACATTTATTGAACCTTATGTGTGACCACGGGCAAGGCCCGGATTTGGTTTAAAGTTTTAGGGTGCACTGACCCCTTTAATACTGACCAACTAAAAGCCCACATATGTATAATGGTACATGTGGCAGTAAATGATGGAATGAGACAAAAGATTCCCCCAAGATTACAAAATGTATTACAACAATTAACACTTCAAACAAGGTATTAAAAAGAAAAGTGCAACCTGTGAAAGACTAAACACAAGTTCAAATATTTGGCAATAAAGAGTTTTACGCTGCATATCTTTTCAAAACAACAATAACGTGCAACCTGTGCAAAACAAAACGAGTGCAGGTATGTGTCAGCCATATGTTCACACATACCAGGAGCATTTTATTTTAAATATGAGCTTTAAAATGTAGCATTCTAAAAGTCAAATAATAGCTGTGATAATAATAATAATAGCTGCACGTGGGACTGTTGGTACACTGGCTGGGGTCATCACAGTGAACAGTGTGTCAGTGTGATGAGAGGACATGTGAGCCCTTGTTGCTGTAGTTCATCTCCTTGGAGCAGAGGCTGCATTTAGCATACCCTGCCTTATCACTGTATTTAAAATACTGTAACAGCGGGAAGCTGTACTCGTGTCTGTTTAGACCTCCACCTTTATCCAGGCCCACCTCCACCTTTATCCAGGCCCAGCTCCACTCACAGCTCAGCCCTGCGTCAAGCTGCGCTACAGACTGAAGCTCTTTGACCTCATCATCTCATCAGTATCATCCTCATTCTACTTTGAGTTAAAACAAACAACCTGCAACCAGATCCGCCGGTGTTCTGGTTTAACGTTAATGAGTGACCGCGTGAACTGAACCGGAACACGGGGGGGGCTGCAGGCTGCATGTTTCATCACGTTACGTTTTTTCCTCCTAAATCGTGATAATGACGAACATTAACAGTCGAAAAAAGTTCCGCATGCAGTGGACGTTAACTTAACCCAGCAAGTATGAACGGTAACGTAACTTAAACTGTAACGGAGGGAAATGAAGATGCTGTAGTCATCTTAACGCTGATTGGCCAAGACTCGACACGTCATATCAGAGATGTTTTATTGTGAAGATCACGACATCACCTTTTCTCCTCATCTCACTCCAATCTGAGAAACGCTGGCTGGCCAGTTGCCCCCCCCCCCCCCCAACAAAAAAACAAAACTCTACGGATCTACACGATTCACGTGGATGATATATTTTGATTCAAAACGGCGGATTTCGCCGAAAAGCGTCAAGTTTGCAGGTATGAATAAAGTTCTTGAAATAAAAAAATTCTGCATTTCCCCCAGCGCCCCACCTGCAATACCACCGTGCCCCACTAGAGGGGCGCACCCGACAGTTTAAGAACCACTGCTTTAATCCAAACAAACAGTAGACTAGCAGTTTTTGACCTGTTAAATAATTAAATAAAGGTGGGTAAGGCCTCAATAAGCCAATACTTCCTGCAATATTCAAGGTTATGTAGACTAAAAGGACTGGTTGTATAAATTCCAGGTGGTTCTTGACACTACGTATATCTGTGACCCCTCTCTGAAACACCACGAAAAGAGTCCACGAAAATTAAAACGATTATCACGTTTCAATTAGTTGATCAACAGAACATTAAGCAGTTTCAATCAATTTTAGCACATTTTGACTTTTCTGACACTTTAAATGAAAAAAAAACATTGATTTAATAAATCCACAAGATGAAATATTTGTGATTGCAGCCTTTAAATCCATTTCCGAATCTTCTCACAGTGAAATCTGGTCTTCCCGCTGAGAGACAAACATGTCACAGTCAGCATTTGCATTAATTTGTTTAAAAAAATAGCTTCTTTCACAAACGGTAAAGCGCTGACATGTAACTGGCTGCACACAGATTCAGACGGCCAGAGACTGATCAGAAGATCATCAACATGAAATGACACCAAGTGTCTCTGCAATGTTAACTCACCAAACACACAGTATTCTGAATTAAATGTAAATGTTAAATAACATCCAGGTATTCATAAACTTGCCAACAAGAATATATTTGAAGTTCTCACAATTATGACCTTAAAATGAGTTTGTCACATTTCAGCCATTTGAATATGGGCATTATTATGGTTATTTACCAGACGCGTGTTGTTTTCACCTTGTGAGTCTGTGTGTGAGTCATCAGGGCAAAATCGACTGTATGAGGAACTACAGCAGTCTGTCTGTCTGTCTGTCTACCGTCACAACCATGCAGACATTAACTTTATAGGTGTGGAGTTGAGATGCAAATAAAGTTTGAGTTTGAAGCTGGTTGTGGTCCGAAAAAGGGCAATGGAAGTAGAGGGTTCCATCTATCCATCAGTATCCAAACACAGCTCTCACCCTGGGCCCATGGTAAGCTGCAAGACCAGCCTCACAGGCAGATATACCTGGCGGCACAACCAGGTCCTCAAGAGCCTGGCATCAGCGATTGACATCAAGCGGTGTGCGACCAACTCCTTGCCCCGAGAGTAGCCAATAGCCTGAAGGCAACAGCATTTGTCTGAGAAACACAAAAAGCCCCCAAACATCCTTCCACCAAGCGAGAAACGGGACACTTAATCATTTCCTCCAGAGATTGCTTCCACCAACCTCAGGCCAGACCTGGTACTCTGGTCCCCTTCACTGAAGACTGTTTACATCATAGAGCTCACAGTCCCATGGGAGAACGCGCTTGAAGAGGCCTATGAACGTAAGAAGCTACGCTATGCAGAGCTTGCAGCAGAAGCAAAGCCGCGCTGCTGGAACACAAAAAACTGTCCAGTGGAAGTGGGATGCAGAGGACTTGTGGCTTCTTCGACCACCGTTGAAAGAGCTGGGAAGCCACAGTCAGGCTCTGCGGCAGACCATCAAGGCAATCTCAGAGATGGCTGAAAGAAGCAGCCAGTGGATTCATTCATCAAGCGGAATAACCCATGCTGGGCTCCAAATATGTCAGCATAACCCACTTGAGAATCCCCACTTGTTAACCATTCATGCGTCTTCCATTCTCAATGTTGTCAATTTCGAGACAGTTGGGCACGGCACACAAGCTGAGGGCTGATCATCCTGCAGCTGGCCGCCCTTGGGGAGGGTGTATAGTGTTGAACGGCCGAAACACCCAATGACACAAGGGAACATTACTGCTGATGTGTTCTGGGCCCAACTGTCCCAAAACTCTACAATCTAAACTAGACCGAGATACACCCCACACAAGCCGGAAAACCCCCACTTGTTGATCGTCAACTACTCAAAACAAGGTTAATTTCCTGGAAGTGCTCACCACCTTGGCACAAGGGACAGACAAACATCATGTCCTGTGTTTTTTGATCCTGACAAGGACTGTATGGCTCATAGCAACAACCCAGGTACCCCGTATTCCTGCAGGACTCCCCAAGGGACACGGATGTAGGCCTTATCCAAGTCCACAAAACGCATATGGACTGGATGGGCAAACTCCCATGACGCCTCCAACACATCTCCTAAGAAGACGGTTAGGAAGTCATTATCGTACCTACACTCTAAATCAGAGGTCTTTAACAGGGGGTCCGCGGCCCCTAGGGGGTCCGCAAAATTTTTGGTTGATTAGACAATTTAAAAAAATAATAATAATTATTTTTTTTTTTGAATGAATATGTTCAGTATTGTATGAAAGATAATGGGTATGTTTATGCATGGCAGTGGCACTAATAGGCCATCACTCTTTTTTTTTTTTTCCATATTTATGTTAAAATGAAAACATCACTTTGAATATATGTATATTGTATCATGCAATTGACAGACAATGTTGATATTGGCATTGGTATCAGCTGACAAGGTATGTTTATCAATGGCAGTGGCACGGCCACCCGACTCACTGTACCTTGCACATAAAATAAAAACATGAATATATGAACCTGTGTATTTGAATAGCTTAGTATTGAATGCACAATAAAGAGGTATACATGGTACTAGGCCCATTTAATATAAAACACAATTTTATTCTATCTATCTATAGGCCTGAAGACCCCTGCTCTAAATTTATGAACAGTTTAACAAGATAAATTGTAGAATGATGTGGTGACATTTTACCTGTAACTGACGAGATGTCACTATTTAAAGACAAAGTCCATCCTCCTTTCTTTGTTCCATCCATCCATCCATCCATTTTCCTCCGCTTATCCGGGGTCGGGTCGCGGTGGCAACAGGCCAAGCAGGCTGACCCAGACTTCCCTCTCACCGGCAACATGTTCCAGCTCATTCTGGGGGATCCCGAGGCGTTCCCAGGCCAGCTGGGAGATGTAATCCCTCCAGCGTGTTCTGGGTCTTCCCCGGGGTCTCTTCCCAGTTGGACGTGCCTGGAAAACCTCCAGTGGGAGGCGTCCAGGAGGCATCCTAATTAGATGCCCGAACCACCTCAGCTGACTCCTTTCGACGCGAAGGAGTAGCGGCTCGACTCCAAGCTCCCTCCTGATGACTTTACCTTACCTTTCCTTACCCTATCTCTAAGGCTGAGCCCGGCCACCCTACGGAGGAAGCTCATTTCGGCCACTTGTAGCTGCGACCTTGTCCTTTCGGTGACGACCCAGAGTTCGTGACCATAGGTGAGGGTAGGAACGTAGACTGAGTGGTAATTTGAGAGCTTTGCCTTCCGGCTCAGCTCCCTCTTCACCAAGACGGTCCGGTGCAGCGCCTGCTTTACTGCTGCAGCCGCACCGATCCGCCTGTCGATCTCCCGCTCCATCTTACCCTCACTCGTGAACAAGACCCCGAGATACTTGAACTCCTTCGCTTGAGGTAGGCACTCCATCCCCACCTGGAGGGAGCAATCCACCGGTTTCCGGCAGAGCACCATGGCCTCAGATTTGGAGGTGCTAACTCTCATCCCCGCCGCTTCACACTCGGCTGCAAACCGCCCCAGTGAATGCTGGAGGTCACGATCCAAGGAGGCTAACAGGACCACATCATCTGCAAACAGCAGAGAGGCGATCCCGAGACCCCCGAACCTGACATTCTCCACCCCCCGACTGCGCCTAGATATCCTGTCCATGAAAGTCACGAACAGGACCGGAGACAAGGCGCAGCCCTGGCGGAGGCCAACACCCACCGGGAAGGTGTCTGACTTATTGCCGTGAATGCGGACACAGCTCCTACTGCTGTCGTACAGAGACCGGATCGCCCGCTGTAATGGGTCCGGCACCCCATACTCCCGCAGCACCCCCCACAAGAACCCCCGAGGGACCCGGTCGAAAGCCTTCTCCAAGTCCACAAAGCACATGTAGACTGGTTGGGCAAACTCCCAGAACCCCTCCAGTAGTCTTGCGGGGGTAAAGAGCTGGTCCACTGTTCCACGGCCGGGACGGAATCCGCATTGCTCCTCTTGAATCTGAGGTTCGACTAACGGTCGGAGCTTCCTTTCCAGCACCCTGGCATAAGCCTTCCCCGGGAGGCTGACTAGTGTGATACCCCGGTAATTCGAGCACACTCTCCGGTCCCCCTTTTTGAAAATGGGAACCACCACCCCGGTCTGCCAGTCCATGGGCACTGATCCCAACCCCCATGCGACATTGAAGAGGCGTGTCAGCCAGGACAGCCCAACTATGTCAAGCGCTTTCAGCATCTCAGGGCGGATCTCATCCACCCCCGGCGCCTTGCCACCGAGGAGCTTTTTAACTACCTCAGTGGCCTCTGCCAGGGATATGGGTGAGCCTCCCCCTAGATCTTCAGGCGCTGCCTCCTCTGCAGAGGACATTTTGGTCGGGTTTAGGAGTTCCTCAAAGTGCTCTTTCCACTGCCCAACGATGTCCCCTGTCCGGGTCAGCAGTTCCCCCTGCTGAGAACAGCCTGGGGTAAGCCCTGCTTTCCCTTCCTGAGTCATCGGATGGTTTGCCAGAACCTTGAGGCCAACCGAAAGCCCTTCTCCATGGCCTCCCCGAACTCCTCCCATGCCCAAGTTTTAGCATTTGCGACCACTGCAGCCCTTCTGGCCTGCCGGTACCTGTCAGCTGCTTCGGGAGACCCCTGGGCCAACCAGGCCTTGAAGGTCTCCTTCAGCTTGACGGCTTCCCTCACCTCCGGTGTCCACCACCGGGTTCTCGGGTTGCCGCCACGACAGGCACCGATGACCTTCCGGCCACAGCTCCTAGCGGCCGCGTCCACAATAGAGGCTTTGAACATGGTCCATTCGGATTCCATGTCCCCAACCTCCCTCTGGATGTGTGAGAAGTTCTTCCGGAGGTGGGAGTTAAAGACCTCCCGGACAGGGTCCTCCGCCAGACGTTCCCAGTTCACCCTCACTACACGTTTGGGCTTGCCGGGTCTTTCCAATCGGTTCCCCTGCCATCTGGTCCAACTCACCACCAGGTGGTGATCAGTTGACAGCTCTGCTCCTCTCTTCACCCGAGTGTCCAAGACATACGGCCGCAAATGAAATGGCACGATTACAAAGTCGATCATTGATCTCCGGCCTAAGGTGTTCTGGTACCAGGTACACTTATGAGCCACCTTATGTTCGAACATGGTGTTCGTTATGGCCAAACCATGGCACGCACAGAAGTCCAATAACAAAACACCATTCGGGTTCAGATCGGGCAAGCCGTTCCTCCCAATCACCCCCCGCCAGGTTTCTCCGTCATTGCCCAGGTGAGCGTTGAAGTCCCCCAGGAGAACTATGGAGTCGGTAGGCGACACCCTTTCCAGGAACCCTCCCACCGACTCCAAGAAGGCCGGATACTCTGAACTGCTGTTTGGTGCATAAGCAAAAACCACAGTCAGGGCCTTGCTCTCCGCAACCCGTAGGCGCATGGAGGCGACCCTCTCGTTCTCCGGGGAGAACTCCAACACAGCAGCGCTCAGCCGGGGGCTCATGTGTATCCCCACTCCCGCCCAGCGCCTCTCACCCTGGGCAACTCCGGAAAAGGACAAAGTCCAACCCCTCTCCAGGAGCTTGGTTCCAGAGCCAGCTGTGTGTGTGTGTGTGTGTGTGTGTGTGTGTGGAGGTGAGTCCAACTATATCTAGCTGGTACCGCTCCACCTCCTGCACCAGCTCTGGCTCTTACCCCGCTAGCAAAGTGACGTTCCATGTCCCTAGATCTAGTCTATGCTGCCGACGATCGGCTCGCGCAGGCCTCCCGCCTGACCCGCCGCCCGGTCTGCATTGCACCCGACCCCGATGCTTATCCCTGCGGGTGGTTGGTCCACAGGGTGGCTGCTCCATGCTGTTTATTCGGGCTGAGCCCGACCGGGCCCCATGGGGCCCGGCCACCAGACGCTCGCCGACGAGCTCCTCTCCTGGGTCTGGCTCCGGGAGGGTGCCCCAGGTTCCCTGGTCCCGGCAAGGTGACTGAGTCCATGGGCTGCTTTTCATTGGGGTCGTTTTGAACCGCTCTTAGTCTGGGCTCTCCCCTGAGACCTGTTTGCCTTGGGAGACCCTACCAGGGGCTAATGCCCCGGACAACATAGCTCCCAGGATCACTGAGCCACTCAAACTCCTCCACCACGTTAAGGTGGTGATTCGCGGAGGAGCCTTTCTTTGTTAAAGAGTTTAATCTCACGGTTGTACAGTAACGTTACATCCGTGCGTTTTAGTTCCAGTAAGAAGTCCTTCTCGATTCATGGACGCCAGTGAAGACAGTCGAGCCTCCCCGGTTGTATTTCTTGAATACGTTTTAATGTGTTTGAGGGCTGAAAATGTCCGCTCGACAGAGGCAGCAGATATTGGGATTGTCACCGCCCAACATGTCTGGCTAGCCCACTGACCAATCACGTATGGCTAGGCCAGCTAGCAGGCTCTGGCACGTCAAAGAATACGCCCAACATGTCAAACTAAAGATCTGATTGGTTGAAGACTATGACAATCAACAATATCGTCCCCATTCACTTAAACTGCACATGGATTCACTTGTGAGTCTGCAGGCCTCGGGCCTCTCTTCTTACCTAGAGACACAGAGGTGAAATCTGATTGGATAAAAGCTCTACTTAAAACAAGCTGCACTGGAAGCAGAGCAACTGAGGAAAACAGGAGCTGTGCAATGAGAAAATAAAATTATAATACATGTAGTGTATTTATGAAAAATAATTAAATTATAAAATAGCTATGACTTTGTGATTCTGTCTAGGCCAGCAAAGAAGGCCTTGCTGGCCCTGACGGCCCACCACTGGTTCAGCGCTGTTGGATACGAGACATAGGCTCAAATGGAATAAAAAAAAAAGAGAGAAACATGTACCTACTGTAAAGTGTCGTTCCATTGAAGGTTACCATGTATTTGCACTGGTGTGGTATAAAGTTAAGCTGTCTTTATTTGTGCTACAGGTCATTGTAGTGTCTGAGTTTAATGAAACAGAAATTCCACCAAACTTATCCTGTGAATGTTCCTTGTTGTTAACACAGGTAAATGGCATTGACCTACGAGGAGCAACACATGAACAAGCAGCAGCAGCACTGAAGGGAGCTGGACAGGTGGTCACTATCATTGCCCAGTACAGACCAGAAGGTGAGTCAGCACAAACACAGGAACAGACACAGGACAATGCTTAAGTAGGTCTCAATACACACCGGGTGATGTGGTTTAAATCAGGCCAAGTGATGGCTGACCTTATGTTTCATTAATAACTTAATTTACACATTACTATCATATATTTACTGTCACAATAAAAGCATATCTCATAATTATCTGTTCAAATATGGTGAAGACTGTAAGAATAATTCAACTCACAAAATATGTTTTTGATAGAGGACAAAGGGACAAACATTGACCACACTTTATTTATTTAGCCCTGTCAAACTCCCAGCCCATTAAGTACCGACGCTTGGGCATTGGCCCTCAGCATCTGATACCGATGCACAAGGCACCCTTTATAGTCTGTATAGGATGCACAAGGCTTTCTACTAACTCCAATGTAAACAGTGTCATTGGTAGAACTCAGAGAAACAAACACAGTATAAATAACAAAAAAAGTCCGCTAAGGGTGTGAGGGACTTGTGGTGGACAGGTCAAACAAGCACTTTTAAAAATGACTTTTACTAAAGACTGTTACGTTTACATCCCATGTGAAACCAAAAGTTGAGTAATTTTTACCTTACACCATGTGACGCCAAGCTACAAACATTACGTCCACAGCTTATGTTACGTTACAAGCGCACTTATTTTAAGCCAAACCATTCTTCTTTTTCTAACCATAACTAAGTGGGTTTGTTACTGTCACAATCAGGCTTTGCCCTGTGTGTTCTGTGTCTTTGTTTCTTTCTGTAGCTCCTCACTCACCTAATCAGTTCATTCAGTGCACCTGCCAGTCACACTCAGCTCATTACTCTCACCTGCTCACTCTGCCTCCTTCACTATTTAAACCCCTGCCACACACACACCCACTGCCAGATCATTGTTTGTTTTCCTACCTACCCGCCTGTTTTGCTCGTCCTGTTCCCGGTTTTCCAGTCTGCCTGTTCTGCCTTTACCCGACGGATTTTCCCCCTCGTCTTTTGTCTTGTCCCTGGATTCCCTGTTTGTTTTTGGTTCATTAAAACCTTTTTTCACGACACCTGACTGTCTGCGTTTGAGTCCTCATCATGCCCGTGACAGTTACTTTAACCAAACAGCTGTTACAATGTAACCGCCACCATTTCACAACTCTAACCACGTTACAACGTTAACCGCCACCATTACACAACTCTAACCACATTACGTTAACTGCCACCCTTACACAACTCTAACCACATGTTACAATGTTAACTGCCACCATTTCACAACTCTAACCACATTACATTAACTGCCAGCGTTTCACAACTCTAACCACGTGTTACAACGTTAACTGCCACCGTTTCACAATTCTAACCACGTGTTGCAACTTTAGCCGCCACCGTTTCACAACTCTAACCACATTACGTTAACTGCCAGCATTTCACATCTCTAACCACATGTTACAATGTTAACCGCCACCGTTTCACAACTCTAACCACATTACGTTAACCACCACCGTTTTACATCATTAATCACATGTAACAATGTTAACCACCACCGTTTCACAACGTTAACCATGTTACAACGTTAACCACCACCACTTCACATCATTAATCACATGTAACAATGTTAACCACCACCGTTTCACAATGTTAACCATGTTACAACGTTAACCACCACTGCTTCACATCATTAATTACATGTAACAATGTTAACCACCACCGTTTCACAATGTTGACAATGTTAACCACCACCGCTTCGCAACATTAACCACCACCGCTTCACAACGTTAACCACGTGTTACGTTAACCTCCACTATTTCACAACCTTAACCACGTGTTACAACGTTAACCACCACCGTTTCACAACTTGGACTTCTGCATCAGGTACTACGCCGGCAAAGTATGACTAGTTGGGCTGAAATAATGGTGATTTGTTGGAAACACTGTACACAAATCTTGGTTAAAATAATACAAGACCATATAATGTGATTCCTACACACTGTACCTTTAGGATTCTGCCTCTCCTAAACTTACAGGAAAACCATCCTTCATGGGGATTTTATTTTTAAAATCCTTTCATAAATTGAAAAGATAAATAAATCAGTATTAAAGGATTGAATTGGCCTCTCAGGCAGCTCTGCCTTCATGTTGTGTCACTTCACCAATCTGCACCTCAGCTGAATCTCAGTGAAAGTGTCCATCAGCTGTTTTGGTTTTATACAAAGTTCCGTGCAAAGTTTTCACATCATGATCATCACATGTCTTGGAAATAAGAGAGATGTGTGCTTAAGCTGGCTTTGTGCATTTCCAAAGTTTGTTAAATGGTGGCAATGGACCAGTTTTTATTTAGTGACAGTGACAATTACATGACTTTACTATCATCTTTAAATACTTTTTTTTTTTTTTTTTTTAATCATTCTGAAATCTTCCAGTCATTGGTCTTTTCAATGTCCAAAGACAAGAAATGTTAAATAATTTTAAGTTTTCTTGCTGAGTTTAGAAAAGTTTCTAATCATATAATCTCATTCAACAAATAACATTCTACTTGTGTTAAACTGGTTAGTGGTTTCTTTGTCCTGTAGCAGCAGCATGTAAATTGTAATAACTCATGCGGGGCATGTTCATGCTAATTCAAGTAGATCAACCATTTTTGACCGGTGGCATGCGTCCTCTCATTAAGTTCAATAGCAGCAGTATCTGCTGGAGGGCTGTAGAGGCAGTGACTCATGGTCGGAGACCTCTCATGTCTCAGAGGTGGCAAACTCACAAACTGTCCGGACCCTTATACCCAGAGCTGTGGTGGGTGTTTGCCTCAAAAGTATCCATGTCAAGGTTCTTTTCTCTCAACATTCAAAAAGTCAAAAGCTTTATCACTTGAGTCAACATTTCTTGATGTATGCTTAGACCATCAGTCAGATCTGAGCCAAAAGTGGGGCCAACAAAAGCCTCAAGAGACTTGGTCTTGGTGTTAGATTGGTTTTGCTTCTCATACATGACTTAAAAGACCCAAAAGCTCAGACTGACTTTGCTCCGTCTCATAGGAGACTCTTCAGTAGTGTGGCCAAGATCAGTAGAGAAGCTATTTGACTTGGCATCCAGTTCAATCTGAAGCCTTCTGTAATCAAGAGTCTTAATTTAGAGATGTTTCTGAAATCGGTTTCATGGAATGCTCCCCCTCACTTATTCATGGAGGTACCATCTCTAACCGGGCTCTAACACCTTTGGGACTAACAACTGCTTTCTCTTCTCGCCCATCAGAACTTGCTCTATGCTCACCTCGTCGGGCCCGCTCTCCTGCACCAGGTTCGTGCCATTGGCACCTGTGGCTGCTCTGAGCTTTAGCATTATTCACCACTGAGTGAATGTGATCACGGACAGTCTGTTCACTCCTCCTCACCAAGCCTTTGACCCATGAGCACACCTGACCCTTTCCTCTCCCAACCTGTTTGACTGTCATTTCTCCACTTCACATGCACTTTTTAAACCCTCCTCACTTTAACGTTTGTCCCAGGTTGTGACCCCTCAAACACTGTCCTTTCTTCTTCCCCATTGAAGATGTAATTAAGATATGTCCTCTTTTTAAGTATACTGTGTTTTGAGGTGGCTATTACCAGTACCTGCAGACACAGTTAGCTCAGTTTAAATGCTCTATGTAGTATTTGTGTCATTACATACCTTAGATACTAGTAACTGTCAACAGTGATCCAGAGTAACAAGGACACTCTCTCTGGAAAGAGGCGTTGCTGTTGGTTTTTTAACAAATGTCATTGACTCAAAAAATAAAACCCCATTCACCTCTATTCTCTTGGGGAGGCAGAGAGGTCAGCAGTGAATATCTCATAACCTTAACTAATGAATCTAAAACTGTTCTGTATGCAATGCTGGATAGTAATGTATAGTACCAGGGGTACATGTGAACTTAAATAGTTTTATGTGCAATGGGTCTTCCTTTGTAAAGCATGACATTACTTGTGGTAAATGTCAACAGGGTGCTATATGTTAATCTAATAGTGGTCTACACCTGTGTGAAGAGACTTCTGCCTTCAGAAACCCAGGAATACCCAGAAATCACACCCATAGTCCTCCAGAAAATTTATAAATCTATAAAGTACAGATGCTTGAGAGGAATAGTCATGTTTCTTTATCGATTCGTCACATTTCATAACAAGAGGCCAACAATGATTTACAAAAACTGTATACTCGTATATCTTTGTGTTTGGCAAGTAGATACATAAATTGTGTGTAAGATGGGGTGCAGTGGTTACTAAGGGGTGATGATTCTGGATATTCACTCATTTTTAACAAAAGACTACTAACACTTTGGCATGCTTAAAGATCTGCAGAGTAACACAAAACTATTCTCAAAAGAGCTAATGCAGATTCTCTTGGACAATTGATATGAGACGTAGAGAATGTGCACAGTTCCTTAAATGCAGACGGGATGGGCTGAAGAAAAACTGTTGTGTGAGTCCAGTTGAATAGTAATGATTTTAGTTACCGTAGGATTAGAGTATTACCATGTGTTTTTTCTCTTACATTCTACACACACAAGTGGCTTCAGCTGTAAAAGCAAATGGCCATCTGTTACCTGAAAATAAATTCCTCATATCATTGGAAAACTAGGAACTTAATCATGTGTCTCTCACCTCCAGATTGAACAGTTAGTGCGTGATCAGATATACGTGACGACTAATAAAGCAAACAAGTGGTCTTGTTGCAGGGGCGTCCGTTGGCTCTTGTCCGCCCCTGCACTGCTTACAGCCACAGGAGAGAGAGAGGTGTGTCCATGATTGTTTACTCAGAGCTGCACTCTGCAGTCACAGGAATGGACTGTGTGTAGAGAGCAGACAGAAGGAGCACCAGGGGAGCACACTATAACAGCAGTAGAGGATATCACATGCAGACAGGTATGTGAGACTCTGTTTTTAGAGTAAGATGAGCAGAAGGAAGAAGATTCATTCATAGAAAATACTTTCTCAAATTATATTGTGATTTTGCATTTTGTTGTTTATCCAGATATGAAATGAGATCTCCTCATTTTAGTTTCCTTGGGATGGGATGGTGAAGAAGCACATCAGAGAGGAAGCATGGAAGAGTTTGATGCAAGTGTGCCAGCCAAACAATCGTAGCGAGTTTTCTTAGATAACACTGACAAATAAAATAAAACATATTTAGTATTTTCAGCTCTATTAACACTATATTTTCTTGCCCTTATTTCTAAAATGCAGACTGTGCAGTCAGTGGTTGATTTGTTTCATGACAGAACATGTCAAGTTTCTTTACTGCTTAATCTTTATAAGTGACAGATTAGCCAGCAATGCCTCGAGATATCAGCTTTTTCATCCTCACAGTAACCGCATTGTCAGGAGAATCATACTTGTCAACGAAGTGACACCTTTCCACATCCTGACATCCTCCTTTACTTTGCTAAGAGCAGTTCAGTTCATAGGTCCAGACGTCAGTGACTGGAAACACTGGTGCATCGGTGTAAACAAAATAAATGGATTTCCGGATGTCGTAGCAACACAAACGATTACCTCAGATAATTACCTCTTACATCTATTCCCTCATCTATCTATCCCCTTAATATGCTCAGGTGTTTTTTTTAATCATTTTTGTATTATTATCAGTTTATGTCACAGTCATGTCTGGCTTTCAGCCACCTACAAGGCAAAATATTATCAACATAAATGAATGTCAAAAAGCTGTCCATTACAGACAGTTTGACATGTACTGCTACATGACTGGAGGAAATGTAATCTAGATGTAGACAGTACGCTGACACCAGAGGTCCCCATTAGAATATTGATGACAAGTTGTTAGCAAATTACTTATCACCAACTTAGACATAATATTGTGAGAGGTGTAAATTTAAAGAAATAGCAAAAACTTAAATATGACTATAGATGTATATCTACTTTATCCAAATACTTAAATAATGGCATCCAGCGCATTGTGATAAGCTCACAATATAAATGAAATACAACACCGCATTTTGAGCACACTTTTCACCCAATAGGGATCGCTCTCAGTTTCAATATGGGCTGTCCTCTAATCTTGTCTTGCAGAGTACGGGCGTTTTGAGGCCAAAATCCACGACCTGCGGGAACAGATGATGAACCACAGCATGAGCTCTGGGTCAGGATCCCTGCGAACCAATCAGAAGAGATCGCTCTATGTCAGGTTGGTCCTTTTTAGGTTTTCACCCTCGTTTGGGATGTTCAAGCTAAATTCAGATGAGCTGTCCGTTCCATGCCCCAAATTGATTCTGTGATGTCTGCACTGATTCATTCCAGGCAACATTACATGAGTACTGTAAGGTTGTGTTGTTTGCTTTTCATACAGATGACTGAGAAGATGTGAGTTAATGTAACGATTGAACGCAGACATACATGTTAAAACCATGTTTGAGATCATGACTGAAACAAAAGAACATTTCTTATAACAGGAACTTCCCCATGGACCAACAGTTACTATTCTCTCTGACCTGGTAGTAGTCTGTGTCTTTTAGTTTCTCACTACCCAATTACAAAAGACCTCACGTGGTGGAATCTTTTACATTACCAATCCTGATAATCCCAATATCTCCCACTGAACAGAGCACTGTTTGACTACGAGAAGTCAAAGGACAGCGGCCTCCCCAGCCAAGGGCTCAGCTTCAGGTATGGAGACATCCTCCACGTCATCAACGCCTCAGATGATGAGTGGTGGCAGGCCCGCCGTGTCACCCCACATGGGGACAGTGAGGAGATGGGTGTCATCCCCAGCAAGAGACGGTGAGCAGTAGACAGAAACCTGTCTCTGGTTGAGGAAATTCTAGAAGTCTGTCTATGATTTGTGTCAAAAATATTGATCGTCACAAAAGAGGAACAATCGTTAGTCTATGAGGCGACCGTGCCTCTGTGTTTGAGATGAAGGGACCACCTTTTGAAACACAGACAACAACTTATTGATATTCTTCTATGAAGAAAAGTGACAGCAGGAGTCCTCTGCACCCACTGGTGCTGTTGGAGGGAAACAAATCTGATTTTAAAAAGGAAAACAATCATCCATTCCTAGGGTGTGACAGAGAAACCCAATGCCAGACACCCAGCACACACACAAGCACATATTGGACACCTCATTGACCTGGTATTGATTTTCCTCTACATACATGGTTTGAAGCAATGACTGAGGAGATATTACATTTTAAGACACTAGTGTTTCAGACCTGTCCTCACCCAGAGTGGTTGTGTAGCTCAGCGTCGTGTCAGTGTGAGTCATTTCATTTCATCTCATCTCTGTGGTGAATGACTGATGTGGCTTTTTGCTTTGCAGGGTGGAGAGGAAAGAGCGAGCGCGTCTAAAGACTGTGAAGTTCAATGCCAAGCCGGGGTCATTGGATTCAAAAGGCGTAAGTACCTCCACGAGAGCTGAAAGCGGCACTTAATATCAGCTCATGGAGTTGATTATTCATAGTGTGTGGCCCAGATGTAACTTCCTCTTGAAGTCTTCACAGTGACTGTAAGGCTCTCTGTGTTCTGCCTCATCATTTGTAAGGTGTTGGTTCTATCGCCCTGCTGTCCTCACTGAAGTTTGATGTCCATGCATAACTTAGTCTGAACAGTTTGATGGATGTCATTCATTCGATAGTTTCATCATTGTGTATGTGTTTCTTCATTTACGTCAAAGAAGCTGCATTTTTAAAAATCATGGACTGATAAAAAAATGCCCTCTCCCTCTAGTGTCCGATAAAAACAGAACAGGAATTATAAAAGTTGTGCTTATTTGGCTTAAGTTTTTAACCACGTTTTGCTTTTCACACATATTTCATTTATACAACTTAAAGCTAAAACCACCATAGCAGATCTAAAATGTTCTCCTTCCAACACGTCTACTGTATATACAAGACTTTTAACAGTAACAAACATAAAGTTTAGGAGGAAATAAGTACATTTTCTGGCGTCGCATCACTCCATATGGAGTCCTGTGCGATTATTCCACATCAGCAGCAGTATTTTGTCTTTAAATGAGCACATTCGTCATTTCAAGTCGCATCATCTTAAGTTCCTACTTTTCGTTCCATCACTGCATGTGTTTGTGTGCTTATGACAATCTTTTCTATGACTAAACCCCAGTTATGTTACTTCTCTTATAGAGTGATCTCAGTTTTTTCTCACCTTGCTTTTACTTTAAATGGCTCTGATGCAACTGTGGCACATCAAGAAGTACTGGGACCTACAATATTATTCCCCTGGATTTAATGAAGACATTTGTTTGACTCTCACACTCTGGTTGTAAATGTTGTAAAAAGTTGTTTTGTTGACTTCTGCTTAAATTAGACAGATTCTGTTAAATAATATATATTTTATATATATGACATGCCTTATTTCATATCAGTCTTTGCTAGCGGAACTTCAGTTCAATCAAACCATTTGGTATCAGAATCTATTCAGATATTGTAAATCAAATCATTCAGGGATACATCTAACTGTTATTACTTTCACTTTCACCATAATCTTTTATTTGTTCAATTATTTGTTCAGAATATGTCAGAACACCTAACATTGCCTCCTTTTGTCAGATCAACAGTCAAAAGCAAAGTTAAGACATCTACAATCATATAAAACAGAGAGAAGCAGCTAATCCTCACATTGTAGTAGCTGGAACCAGCATGATTGACTTTTTTGTTTAATTTAAAGATTAACCAAAATTGCAAATTTCTAAGTGGTCTAACTAGAAAAAGAAACCGAGCATCAATATAATGAGGATCTTAAATGACTTTTACCTACTTTGATCTAAAATGTAACATTTTATAAACTATCATAGTGCAGTTAATACAAATTCACATTGAAGTTGCCTTCTTACAATCTGGGGGAAACAGACATTCAGTTTTCTTGACGTCCCACTTTCTGCAAGCCGTTGTTTTGTCTGCATGAACGTGACAGATATACCTGTTTGCCCCATGCTTTCTCTCCCTTCACAGTCATTCAATGACAAACGTAAAAAGAATTTCATCTTTACGCGAAAGTTCCCATTCTACAAGAACAAAGAGGGTGAGCAGGATGGCAGTGATTCGGACCGTAAGTAAGCTGACAGACACATGTGCTTCCACGCAGAGAGTCGGTGTAGGTGACATATAGGGCTGATGGGTGACACACAGCTGTATTCCTCTATCCATCGTTCCCTGTTGTCTTTGTTTTCTGTCTCATTCTGTTGGACCACAGTCAGACACATTCGGGCTCAGATGCTCATCAGTCAGCAGGAGAGAAGCCAAGTCAATGCTGTTCACTTTGGTGGGATGGGTCCCCATACGGTGATACTGTACGACCTAGTTTCCCTTCAGAGATGATTTAGGTTCAGACTGTGCAGGCCCACGTGTTATCATGTAGCTGCCTCCCCCTGCTGGCTGTTTAGTGTCTGGACAGAGACAGATCTGTGGCACTGCAGCTCCCTCCTCTCACTGCCTCCAACCCTTTGCTTATGTTGCGGCTGTCCTCCCTTCTCTCTTTCTTCTGTTCTGGCTCTCTTCGGACGGCCAATAGGATATCCTGGGGATAGGTGATGATGGGTATGGGACAAAGACATTCAGTAAGTTTGTCCAGGAATGATTTCTCATCACCGTTTACCTCAATCCGCCCACAACCACAGCCTGTTGCATGCTGCATTTGTTGGATTTGTCTTGCTTCTCAGTGTGCAGTGTGACTTCTGTCACAAGATGTAAAGCAGGTTTACTAAACTCAAGGTTTGAAGAGCATTTGTGTTTTGGTCGCTCTCGGTCGGTTTTATGGTAAAAGACGGCAATTGCCCATTGAGAAATAGTCGGTCAAAAGTCACATTAGGATTTCTTTATGGGTTTATGGGCTTTTTTTCTCTTTTTGTGAACCAGGATTGATTTTTTGACTCAGTTATTTTATTATCATGATTAATACAATTAAAAGTGTCTGATTCAAGTTAGCATTCTTTATAAAGTATGACTTTATTTCTATTATATATTATATTATATTACTTATATTAATATGGCAGACAGTCACATGGTTCCAAACATTTTGGTTTGTTGAAGCAGCACCGGTCCTACAGGTCACACTCTGTTAATGAGCCACTACACTGATTATTGTGTCCTGGAGCCTCCCGAACCTTTAATGGCATGCTGAACGTTGTGGCATGCTTTCCTTAGATGTTTATCATGTTTGATGCATGCTTGCATGACATTGGCATAAACAACTGAAGTGTTTTTTTAATTGTGAGCATGTTCGTTTGAAGCAGAATTTTGGAGCATGTCACAATGACGTCTGTTCGTTTTGTCAGTGTTGGAGTTTCAGTCATTTATAGACAGAAATACAGTGTATATTTTCATATTGATCGAAGTGGAAAAGTTCATTTGAAACCAAGAGTCTTTACCCACTAATCAGGGTTACTTCAGGATTTTCTTGTGGAAGCTGAATGCTTTAGGGATTCCTGTTTTATTTTTATGGTGAGTTTTCTATCACTCAATGAGTGAAAAAAGATTTCTTAAAAGTGTTTTTGAACAAACCTAATATCAACTTTTCTCATTGGAAGTAACAACACCATAAGCACAGATGGAACATCACACAGAACTCAAATGATTTGCTAAATGCAGGTACATTGATGTTAAACAAACATCAGGAAATGTTTAATGCCATATTGTATCAGGTTTCCTGAGGTCTTGAAGTCAGTCAATTGGAAGGCTGGAGAATCGGGAGATACTATACTCGAGGTCAAAATATCAATAAATGGTTAAAAGTGAATGAAATTGTGGTTCATTATTTAGTTCATTTTGAATTGACAGTTTACTATGTGATTCATTTATTTAGCATGAGCTGCTATATTTATGTAGGTCAAACAGTAAGACCAAAAAAACAGGGACATTTATCTGTAACATGCTGCCATGCTTGTGGCTTTGGGCCAAATATGGCATGTAGTTTTTGTTAGTAATGAGTGTTTGTCCTAATTACATAATATTGTTCACTATGTGCCCCACCAGGGAGTCAAGAGGATGTCATTCTCTCGTATGAACCTGTGATGCGGCAAGAAAGTAAGTTGCTTAAATGTGTGATCAAAGCCACATGAAACACGGTGTTTTGATTTGTAGTAATGACTAAAACCATAACGTTACGTAGCATATAGAGTAGGCTAATGAGTCAAGCTAGCTTGCAAATTCCAACATGCTTTAATGCTACACTGGTTACAGAAAATGAGCTGAACAGTGGCCTGGTGGCCAGTAGCAGTGCTGGGTGTAACTGTCCCCTCCACCTCACCCCCTACTGCTCCAGAGAAGGACAAGCTACGTAACTAACTAGCCAGCCATCCCTCTCAGCTTTCTTCCCTGCGAGCTGCGACACTTTACGGCCCACTGACCTGTGTTGTAACCATAATAACTAACAATAATAGACATTTTCTTTTGTACTAGTCAAATGACTACGAGAAAAGTCCTTTCTACTCTTATTCTATTTCTATGGTTGCATTTATTGCATTTTAGTTTGGTGGCGTGGCTGTGCTCCATAGACTGTATGTGTGATGTCTGAAACAAATGTGAGCAGGCCAGATGTAGACTGTCCTAACCCAGTCATGAACATGAACACAGATTAGAAACATTCTAACTTCATGTACAACTAAATACAACTGAATGAGACACCCTTCTAGCTTCATGAGGAACTTCCCTCTCTCTGCCAGAAACAGAAACTGTTGTAACCACGGCTTCGTATGAAGTGGCAACTGTTATACAATAAATAATTAATAATAAACTACACAAGTAACAATGTGAACAGTGAGTTGGCAGACTCATTACAATTACTCCACATTGAACAGGCGTATGGAGAAAAATCTGATTCGGAATCTGGTTATGGCCAAGTAGGTTTAGGTAGGTTTATTTCAAAAATATTTATAACGTATCCTTTCAAAATAAAAGAGCTTGGCAGTATTGTTGAAAGATATACTATAGGGAATGTGCAAACGTTCACAGCATTAAGGATACAAAGAATATACAGAGAAACTAAAAATGAAACGTAATCCCATGCTTTTTTGGTTGCAATCATTAGTTTTTTGTAAACATTTTTTTAAACTCTGTTTATAAGCTGCTTTGTTTTTGCCCCAGTCCTAAATATTTCAACACTTTTCAAATGAAATGAGCACGTCTAGTGTTTTCTAGACTAGTTGTTTAATCCTAAATACAATGTAATCTTTAAATTGTAAACATATGTATGACAGTGGTCAGCAGGTACATGAGGCTCCATTTAGTGAAAAAGTACATCTGAATCAAACTCGGTAACATCCTCAATAATCTTAAGTATTCATTTTATATTTTTTATTTTTTTATAAACATTAGCTGTGAGTGTAGTGTTTCTCTTTTAATTACCAGACTTTCCAGCAACGACACTACTACCGACTCAAAATCAGAATCAATCAGCACTTTATGACTGAACGCCTCTAAGGTTAGAAGTCAGAAAGGTAAAACTAACCTGTCTGACACCGGTCTAAACCTAGCTCACGTTCTCTATTGGTGGCTAAGCAATCCAACGCTTGGTGAATAAGAGTAAGAAGGATCTCACAGCACTTCCTTTCACTGTTGGCAGCTGCTGTTTAAAACAGCACACTGTTACCCAGAGGACGTCTCAGAGGAAGAGTTCATACGACTGTCACCAACATGATACAGTAGCTTTGCATTGAAAGTTCCTAGACACTGCAGGATACTGTAGTATAGATCATTCAATAAACTAACATATATATCAAATATGATGCTGTGTGCTGGGACAGACCAGCACTTAGCAGGAATTACATTGACTTTGGTCCATATCATGCTATCCATACTTGTTAGTCATATTTCTGTTGTATGAATATACACATATGTATATTGTAATGCATCTTTGCACACAAACAAGAACTAAAGCTCCCCTGCACACAACACATGGAAAATAACTTTCATACGGTTTACTTTCATGCATAAAAAACAATCAGTGTTGTCTTTTAAAAAGTCTTTGTTTTCTCTTCCAGTTACTTATGCCAGACCCGTCATAATCCTCGGGCCAATGAAGGACAGAATCAATGATGATCTGATATCAGAATTCCCAGACAAGTTTGGCTCTTGTGTGCCACGTAAGTATTTAATGGAAATAAAGCAGGAATTTATTTTGAACAGTGAGATTACAGGTTGTATTCATGCTGTTACATAATGATAGTTGTAGAATGGCTTGATGGTACTGATGGTGAAATCATTGTCTGTGTTTATTGATGTGTTTATCAGTCATGACCTTGATCATATGTGGAGTGAGTGTGATGTGTGACCGTTTATCACCCACTCATCCCACCACTGTTCTCTAATGTACTGCACTTTTCACTTTAAAGGAATGCTTCAGCCACAAAATGACCATTTGTATATTAATTACTCACAGCGTGTTACCTTGAATTTTTGAAGAAAACTTTTTTCCTGCGTGTCTCCACGGTGAACGGAGAATTGAAAATTTGACAGATGAACATCTGTAATGAGGATGACATGGTTGTAGAGGGACAGCCCACATAGATCATTGTTTGTAATCAGACCCACCTCCACTGTGAAACTCAAGGCTCTGATCACTCACACAGTGCTAAGTGGAAGACATTTCTAATGCTGCTTATTTATCACTATCAATGATTTATCTTATATCATGAATTGGATTGTACTGTTTTGGTTCACTGTGGATCTAAATATATTTTTTAATGTTTTGTCAGAGAAAGCGGCCCATGTAACTTCATGTAACGCTGCCATAGGGCTATAGATGGAAGGACTATATCTCATTTGTGTGTGTGACCCCAGTTTACTCCATTTGGACTCATCCTAAAGAGAACAGCTGACTCCTCTCTGTGTGTGATGTGTTCTCCATGAGCCAAAGCTGTATTTCTTTTGCATGTTTTCATTTACTTATCTCTTTTATTTCAATATACCCTTCAAACCGTATAAAGCTGCTAACAGTTCAGGGCACCAAGGTGAGTGAGTGGATGAGCTCAGTTCATTCTTTCTTCCCTTTGTCTAGAGAGTGAGTCTTGAAGTCTTTTGTTCCTCTACTCCTTTTATCTTTTTGGAACTACTGTTGTGTACAATCAGTTTGAAATTTGACACTGGTGTTATACCTTTGTAGAATAATAATTATCAGCCACCTTCTTGTCTTTAAAGATATCAGTGAAATTTGCTCAAAACCTTTCTAGCACATTGTATATTAACAATGTTTGACAAGGAATTCCTTATTTTCCAAAATCTATACATTTTCTGTTTGAAGCTCATAAGTGAAGAATCTACTCCACTTGCCCTTTGTGTTTATCTAATTGATGAAGTAACAAAGTCAAAAGAAACGTGACTACATTTAATGTCCCGTTTCTCTATTTGCTTACTTGTGCAAATTTCATGACAAGCTCTGATTGATGTGAGTGGATATCTTTAAAGGTTAACATGTAGCACTGTTCTTTTGAGGATTCAGCCACCTGCTGGTAGCAACAAGGTCACAGCTGGTAGGATTTGTTACAGCACAGAGCTGTCCTAATAAAGAAACCAGCAGGCTTTATTGGAGCATAACTTAAAGAAACGTCGGCACCAACAATCTCAGTATTGTGAGAAAGACTCTCCACAACATTAGTTTGTGGTAATTACAATAATTTGAGAATAATTACAAGTCAATTCAAACTTTATTAATATAGCACATTTCATACACAGGGCAACACAATGTGCATTACGTCAACAATATAATACAGTACAATACAATCATACAAGTGCAGAATACAAATCAGAACAGGGTTTATTGCCAAGTATTTACATACTTTGTGTTGGGCCCGTACAATAAACATATTAATGATGTAAAAATACTCATAAATATAGAATAGTAAATTGCCATAAAAAATTATTAAAAGATACTATACGAAAAATACGATAACAAATATGTACAGTCCAAGTGTATTTTGGAATGAGAAACCTGTACAGTTTTCTGCAGAATGTGCAAAAATATTGATCAGTAGATGTGCAAAAGTTCACAGTGAAAAGAATATGTGCAATGGACAGGGATCATAGTCAACAGGTGTGAGTGCAGTAATACAAAGAGTCAATGTAAAATATACACACACACTATTGTGGAAAATACCCTGATTTTGGGGGTGTTTATGTGGCCTTTTCTCGAGAACACTGTAAACACAACCCCATTTGAAGACAGCCTCCCTTGCTTTAGACTCAGATGAAGGATGGTAAAAAGACCGGTTCCTGTGTACCATGTTCATAAAGTATCCACTGGTCTCCTTATGACATTAGTTTCTAAATTATTAAGGGCTTACTCTCCTCCTTGCACCAAAGATACCACTCGGCAGAAAAGGGACTACGAGGTGGACGGGCGAGACTACCACTTTGTGACGACCAGAGAGCAGATGGAAAAGGACATCCAAGAGCACAAGTTCATTGAAGCGGGACAGTACAACGATAATCTCTATGGAACGAGTGTCCAGTCTGTGAAATGTGTGGCCGAAAGGGTGAGACTCATGTTTAAAGCTAAACCACATGGAAGGACCAATAAATGTATCAATGTAACGTTCAGTTCTTGCAGTGTAAATAGAAGTATATTGGATATATGTTTATCGACTGCTCTGTGATATCGATAGAAGAAAAGATCTAGTTTCTTTTACATGATGCTGTTTAGACCAGGAGATTTTGCTTGAGATTAGAGTGTGTGTTGTACATCTCTTGTAAATTCATGCCTCTGTCTCAGGGGAAACACTGCATTCTGGATGTGTCTGGAAACGCCATCAAACGACTACAAGTAGCACAACTCTATCCCATCGCCATCTTCATAAAACCTAAGTCTATTGATTTATTAATGTGAGTATGCATTTGTTTCCCTTTGATAATAATTCAGATAATACACCAGCCTGTTTACTTTACAATTAGTTTTGTATTATTGAAGATTTATTGGAATGTTGCAAGACTTTACTTCAAGTCCCCCATTTATCATTTATAATTAAACATGTATAACACACTACAATGTAGTCGTAAGTAGATATAAATGTGTATTAACTTAATTAACTGTATCTCCTCCTGTAGTCATCAAGGAGTATAAACAGATAATGAAGGACAACATAGTAAAACAGTTGTAATAATATGTCCTTTTAGGTGTTTATCTGCTTATAACTACATTGTAGCATGTTATAAACCATTCATTAAATGTCTGTATACTGTTTATAAATTAGAAATAGGGGAACTTAATGTGTTACTTTGAATTCTGTTCAGTCTCACAACCGTGGCTCTTGGGCCATGAGAAATGTGGGAGACACACCATTTCAACTGTTTAACTTAAGTATTTGAATAAGTTGAGAACCAGGTTCCACGTGTAAACAGGAGGAACTGATCGACACCCTGCACAACAATGAAATGCAATGCATTGAAATATAAAGACACTGCTGAATAATAACAGCAGGGGTCATCACAGTTGGCAAATACAAATCAGATACAGAACCATCTGTGGCCTTTGTCCCTGTACAGGGACATGAATAAGAGACTGACAGAGGAACAAGCCAAGAAGACGTTTGACAGGGCGATGAAGCTGGAGCAGGAGTTCGGTGAATTCTTCACAGGTATGATATTAATACAAGCACAAATTCAGAAGAAGCCGTCTATATTCAGCTTGCCCCTCACTGCTCAAACACAGTATGAACACACAAGGCTAGCTGGGCGCTTGATTAAAGGCTCTCCTTCCAGCTCGCCTCAGAGCAGAAGCAGTGAGAGGGTTGTGCTCACATGGCCACATGCCGAGGCCAAAAATATGCCGATTATCGTAGAGATTCTCTCTGAGCCCCATCCAGACTGGACCTGTCAGTTTACTTTGAAGATGACTTCTGCAATTATAAAGGGAACAACATTGGTGATATAAGAGTTCAAACTTTCAGCGATTCTAAACAGATATGTTAAGATTACGGCATGTGTAAACATGCCTGTATCAGTGGTATGATTCTGCAGTTCTTAACTTTAACTTTTATTAAAGGTGTCAAATATAAAGGAACTTAATATTACTTTTTGGTATCTGAAATCCAACAGTTTGTTTTCTATTGGCACTCAGATGTGGAATCATTCGATGTAGGAAGATAAGCTCATGTTAAAGCGCCTATGTGTTATTTTTTTATGTAATAGCATATTTCAGTAACTCTTTCTGCCCATGTTTATAATGCATTATAAATATATTTAAAATGCATTATAAACATTATTCTTATAACACTGTATAATTGTAGTTATTAGCACTCGTGAATACGACAATAATCAAAACGCATTTTGAGCAGTTTCTACAAACGAAGACTTTTGCCATTTAAATTTGGGTAACACTATATGTCTATACACTTTTTATTAAAGCAGTCATTATAATGTGATTATGATTTATTTTAAATGGTCATTGATTGCTTTATGTAAAGTGAAAAATTGTGAAATTAATTTTCACTTTACTTGATGTAAACAATGACCACAAATCCCATCATATTACATTATAACATTGATTATAATGCACTGTAAAATATAATGTATTACAACTATAGGAATTATAATACACTATGATCCTTACAAAAACCAATCTCAGTGAGTGACCAGCAATTATGAAGTATTATGATACTTGACCTTTATAAGTCATAATAAAATGCTTTATGATGTGTTATGATTACTTTTATAAAGCATTGTATTCATGAGTGCTTATAATTATAATTATACAGTGCTATAAGCCGATTGTAAAGCATTATGGATAAGTTTATAATGCCTTATAGAGATGGGTGTCATAGATGGTGTTACCCATATTTCAATGGCAAAAGTCTTTGTTTGTAGAAACTTCAAGCTGCCACAGTAATAATTATTGTCAAACACGTGGAGGCAGGTCAGCAGGGCCTTTTCTTCTGTCAATAGAAATCTTTGACCTACATCAGGGCCTTAAACGTTTGACAGCTGAGAGGCTTTATGAGTGAAAAGTTGCATGTGTGACTGTAATGATGTACCTGTTCTATACAAAGTTCCACATTACATAAAGAGTACCCTTTGCTTTGCAGCCCTGGTTCAAGGAGACACCTTAGAGGACATTTATAGCCACTGCAAACAGGTGATAGAGGAACATTCAGGACCCTATATCTGGATCCCCTCGAAGGAGAAACTATAATAACTCATCACTCTGGAAGGGAGCCTGAACTGCTAGAGACTACTAATACCTTTGTTGTAACATATGATAACTGTATGGCGATGACTTCATAAATATCTATTGTGTTATATGTTTCATGTGTTGGTTTTTTCACTTTTGTTTGGTTACTGCTTCTTTCACTCAACATGAATGTTCCTGAATGTATTCCACAAAGTGTTAGAGAGTTTTAGGTCTTGAAACATGAACCATTTGTATGTTTGTTGATTTTGATTTGAACACAGAGAGAAGCTAAGTAAATGTGTGTCCACATCTGCACTGTGGGAGCTGGAGGTGGGGTATAGTACAGACGTCTTTGCTTCGCTAACATAAGAAGGAAAGTAGGTATTCCTACTGAGATACCCCCTCCCTTCACACTGCACCTCGCAAAGAATCATATGAAGTTTAATGTTTTGTCTGATTTTGAGTCTATGCATCCCAAGGAACAGCTTTGCTTTGTGTTTGTTTACAGCTTCTTTTTCTTCTTGGATTACTGTATTTATTTCTCTGACATGACGTTGAGGATGTGTGAGGAAAATGTTTTGTTCGCTCTAAAACTTTCATGAGTTTTTTTGAATTTTATTTAAAAGCACATCACTCATCCAGCTGTTGCATTGACAATGATTAAAGGGAAAAAGCTGTTATCGGTAGTGGAGATGTAACACTATATTTTGCTACTTAAATTGCTAAGGGGGGCACAAAAGCACAGAATTATTTATTACTGAAACAAACTTTGATTAAAAGGTCATTTACAGAGCATGTTTTATTTTAATGATGTATGTCGTGACTGTGTTAGGGTGGATGTGAACTTTATGGTGAAAGGCACATTTCATGTTTTAGGTTTGGAGTGGAAAGGGTTAAATATTAATTTAATACTGAAACACACTTTTGAAACAATAATAGCAGGACATATAAAAGTATAAAAACAGAGCAGGCAGAACATGAAAGTAAAGTGAAAACATACATTTTACAAAATGCAGTTAAGTATTAGATATTGGTATTCTGTGGCAACATGAAGTGAATAAGGATTTGAGAGACTAAAACAGGTGAGTTCTTCAACTTGAGTTTGAAGCTGATACTGATTAAGTCAGCTTGCTGTTCCTGAGTCATAATGACAGCGATTAGATAATGATTGGATTCATAGCTGAGGAAAACCCAGTCTGACCCTGCTCTCCGTTCATATCCAACATCTTGGCGTCTCCCTGTTGAGCCGCAGTGGGTGGATTGTAACATTGTAACAAAAAGCAGGATATTTGTACTAAAAAGACTTTGGATGATAACCAGTTGATTTGTCTAAATCGGATTAGTTTCAGATAAACGTTTCAATACATTTTTGTACAGAATGAAGACTGGATTTTGTCCTCCATCGCTTAGTGTCCAGTATGAACAGGATGCATGACTACAGCAAGCAAAACCTGGTTCAATGTGCATATGGGCACCTGACTATTGTTTTGAGACGGACAGGATGATTTTTAACATTTAAACTTAGTAATCATGGACTCAAAGTACACTATTATACATGTGTGTCCTCAGGGTAGAACACCAATACACCAACAGAGCTACAATCACGTCGGACCTCCAAGTTTACCGTGAGAAATGCAATCTCACTTATGAGATTCTTCTTAGCTGGAGAAACGATGACTCAACAACTCTTTGAACTCACACCCAGCCAGGCAACGACGTTCAGCAGAACAGCAGACAGGACAATAATCCTGAGTGAGCCACAGAGAGCAAGGAGGCCTGAATACAGCTCTCGCAGACGTATTACAGTTTGTTGTAGAAGTGGATGAGCTCTGATGTCCTGAGCAGACACTGCACGATACAGTGTATTCACCAGTTTACTCACCATTTTAGTCCCCAGTTTACTCCCCACTTTGCTCCCGTTTAATCACTAGTTTAATCACCAGTTTACTCACCAGTTTACTCCTGTTTAATCACCAGTTTACTCACGTTTAATCACCAGTTTACTCCCCAGTTTACTCCCAAGTTTACTGCCCAGTTTACTCCC